CAGATGGTGGATATGTTACAACCACCAACACTAGCAGATGCAGTTCAACTAGCTAAGAAGCAAGAGAATTATCTAGCTCATGTGAATAAGAGCAACAGAAATTTTCAATCCAAGAGTATTCCCCAAAACCAGTGGAGCAAGGGGTGGAAATCCTCGCCTCCTGACCTTACCAAAACAACCAAAGAGCCTACTGCCCATCCTAACACTTACCCTCCCCTCAGAAAACTCTCTCAAGAGGAGATGACTGTTAGAAGAAAAAAGAACCTCTGCTACAATTGTGATGAAACTTTTCACCCTGGTCATAAATGCAAAATATTGTTTGTGATTTGGGGAAATGATTTGGAACGACTGAATGAAGAGGAGGTTAGCCTAGACTTGAATAGTGAATTGTTAGAGGATGAAGAATTAAAGGTCTCTCTTAATGCAGTGTCTGGTCAATCCCCACCTGCCCCGCCAAATTCCCTTAAAGTCTTAGGCACGATTGGTAAACACTCTATCACCATTCTTATAGATAGTGGAAGTACTCATACATTTCTCAATCCTGCAACAGCTCAATTGTTAAATTGTGAGATTGAGATTACCAACCCTCTATTGGTCACAGTGGCGGATGGCAATAAAATACAGTGTAATTCCAAGTGTTCTAGGTTCCAATGGCAAACGGGAGAGTGTAAATTCATGACGGGAGTGAGATTATTACAGTTGGGAGGTTGTGATATGGTCATGGGAGTTGACTTTCTTAGGAAACTGGGAGGCATTTATCTGCACTTTGATGAAGCCATTCTTAGATTCATTAGGAACAACAAGGTTATCACTCTGAGAGGAGTTAATGCCCCTTTAACCTTGAAAGGGGTTAAGAGTGGTAAAATGCAGAAGTTGATTGATCAAGAGAGTGACGTTTTAATGGGTATGATGTGCATAATGACTAGTGTGGAGCCTCCACCCAGCACTAGTGAACCTCCCTCTACTACACCAGCTCAAATCTTACCCTTACTTAGCCACTATGAACACATATTTGCTGAACCTACCTCTCTCCCACCCCATAGGGCCTGTGATCACCATATTCCTATCAAACATGGGGTAGAGCGTGTTAAACAACACCCCTATAGATATCCCTACTTGCAAAGGTTGGAAATTGAGAAATTGGTCACTGAGATGCTTCAAGCCGGAATAATTCAACCCAGTAACAGTCCATGGTCTTCCCCAGTTCTCCTCGTCAAGAAGAAAGATGGTACGTGGAGGTTTTGCATTGATTACAGAAAACTTAACTCTCTCACTGTCAAAGACAGCTTTCCTATACCATTAATTGGGGATTTATTAGATGAGCTAGGATCTGCTAGAGTCTTCTCTAAGATTGACCTTAGGGCAGGTTATCATCAAGTAAGACTTTTTCCTGCGGACATTCCTAAAACAACTTTCGTAACCACCTCAGGCCTTTATGAGTTTAAAGTCATGCCTTTTGGCTTGACCAATGCCCCCGCTACCTTCCAAGCCTTAATGAATTCCATATTCCGGCCTTTTCTTCGAGATTTTGTTTTAGTTTTCTTTGATGATATCCTTGTTTACAGCTCAACCTTAGAAGAGCATCTCCACCACCTGACCCAAGTCTTTGAAGTCTTAGCTTCCAACCAACTATTTGCCAAGACTTCCAAATGTGCTTTTGGTAAGACTCATATTGATTATCTTGGTCATGTTATTGGTAATGGTTGTGTAGCTGCAGATCCCGCAAAAATTCAGGCTATGTTGGATTGGCCAGTGCCCAAATCAGTGAAAGCATCACGGGGTTTTTTGGGATTGACTGGCTATTACAGGCAATTTGTGAGAAATTATGGACTCATTGCCAAACCTCTCACTGACCTCACCAAAAAGGGCAATTTCAAATGGAACCCTGCGGCTGACAAAGCTTTTCACCAACTCAAAACGGCCATGACTACGGCACCAGTGTTGCAACTCCCCGATTTCAATCATGTGTTTATTGTGGAAACTGATGCTTCATATGGGGGCTTGGGAGCTGTTCTCATGCAAAATCACCATCCCATTGCTTTTCTTAGTAAATCTTTAGGTCCCAAGAGCTTAGGTTTATCGGTTTATGAAAAAGAGTTCCTTGCTATTCTCCTCGCTACCCAGAAATGGAGACCTTACCTTCTCCACAATCAGTTTATCATCGACACGGACCAACACAGCCTCAAATACCTCCTTGAACAAAAAATATCCACCCCTCTCCAACACAAATATATGACCAAGTTCCTTGGCTATGACTACAAAATCGAGTACAAAAAGGGTTCCGAAAACAAAGTTGCTGATGGCCTTTCACGGGAGTTTTCAGAGGCCAGTCACTGCCTTGCCACCACCACCGTGCATCCTCAGTGGATTGATGAAATAATGGCTACCTATGAAGGCGATTCCATCGCTCAAGAAGCATTGCCTCTCAATTAGCATGCCCTTTCAATGTCTCTCACTTTCACTACAAGGAAGGGATTCTGCGGTATCATGGGAAACTGTATGTGGGGTCTTCCACTGCCCTTCATTCTCATATCATCTCCTCCATGCATACATCATCCTTAGGTGGGCATTCTGGTGTTCATGGTACCTGCCAACGCATTCAAATGATTTTTTATTGGCCCCAGCTCAAACCTATGGTCAAAGTGTTTGTGGCACAGTGCCAAATTTGCCAAGCATGCAAGCATGAGACAGTGCGATCTCCTGGGCTCCTTCAACCTCTTCCAGTTCCGGACCAAGCCTGGCTCCATATCTCGATGGATTTTATTGAGCAACTGCCTCTCTTCGATGGCAAAGATACAGTTGGGTTATAGTTGATAGGTTTTCCAAATAGGCACACTTTCTTTCTTTACACCATCCATTCACTGCATCGCATTTGGCTACTGTTTTTCTTGATTCTTTTTACCGTTTGCATGGTTTACCTTGCTCTGTGGTGTCTGACAGGGACCGTATTTTCACTAGCCAGTTCTGGCAGCAACTCTTCAAATTGTTGGGCATCCAGCAGAACCTTAGCACCGCCTACCATCCCCAGACGGATGGTCAGACCGAGCGCGTCAACCAGTGTTTGGAGTCCTATCTTCGCTGCATGTGCAATGCTCACCCCAAGTCCAGGAGTCGTTGGCTGCCTCTCGCGGAGTGGTGGTACAACACTAATTTTCACACTGCCTTGTCCATGACTCCGTTCGAAGTTTTCTATGGGTTTAAACCCTCCCAGTTTGCTTTGGGCCCTTATCTTCCTTCCACGGTTCAAGGTGTTGAGGACCTGATTCAGCAGCGGCTCTCTATTCAACAAGATGTTAAAGCCATTCTCCATCAAACTCAAGATCGCATGAAAACCATGGCTGATCGTCATCGTTCCGAGCGTTCGTTTGCCGTGGGTGATTGGGTTTTTTTAAAGCTCCGGCCCTACAAACAAGCTTCTATGCACAAGATTCGCATGAGGAAGCTTGGTCCTAAGTACGCCGGCCCGTTTGCCGTTATCCAGAAGATCGGCATGGTTGCCTACAAGTTGGATCTTCCACCCTCTGCTCGCGTCCATCCCGTTTTCCATGTTTCGTTACTTAAGCGCAACGTGGGTTCTCATGATCGTGTTACTGCCCAGTTTCCCCAACTTGATGATAGTGGCCGCATTATGCTCACTCCGGTGGCCATTCTGTCCCGTCGTTTGGTCAAACGCAACCATACGGCTGCTACTCAGCTTTTGATTCAATGGTCCCACCTCCCCGTTGAAGAAGCCACGTGGGAGGATTATGATCGTATGGCTCGCGACTTTCCCTCCCTGCTGACTTGAGGGCAAGTCAGCTCGTGAGGGGGAGGGTATGTTATGATCTGCCATGTGAGAGAAACGGATAGTTGAAGTCGTTGAAGAAGAAGCGCGTTTTCATTAATAAAAACGTATTAGTTAGTTAGAATTCTTTTATTGTTTTATTCATTTTATTGTAATCGAATGACATGGACCAATGTGCGCTTGCCAGCGCATTAGTCACGCCATCTAGGCGCCACTTCAGCATCTTCCCAAACGGGAATGCTCGCGTGTATTCTGTGCTATAAATAGCACAATATCTCAAACACTTAGTAGGCATGAACATTCATTTTCTCAGTTTCAAAATTCATATTGTTTTAGTGTGCATGTTTATCTGTTCACGACACACGAGCACTCCCTACTGAATCTAGGTCATCGAGGTTGTTCAATACGGTTATCGGTGTAGGTTTCTGGTGACGACGGAGCTGGAAGAGCGAGATCGGCGCCGGAGCTAACACGATTGCACATCTGTTGTGCCGCTACAAATTTTTTAAAATTCAGATCACTAATTAAGAGAGAGAAAAATAAAGCAAAAGTAAGAAAACGAGTGAAGAGATGGAGACAGGGAAAAATAAGAGGGAGAGAGAGAGAGAGAGAGAGAGAGAGAGAGAGAGAGAGAGAGAGAGAGAGAGAGAGAGAGAGAGAGAAGGTGGGAGAGAGAGAGAAAGAAGGTGGGCGGCGAATAGGGTAGGGGAGGGGAAAAAAAGAGAATAATAAAATCAGAATATAATGTGATTTTTATTGGTAATATTAAAGGTAGTTTTGAGTTTAAAAAAATTAAAAGGATGTACATCAATTTTTGTTGAGAACTAAGGATTTAATGAGAAAATTCTAATTAAACTTGTCCCTTACATCAAATTAGGTTTGGTTTGAGGGGTGTCATGCATATTACCCCAAAAAAAATTGATTTGACACCTGGCGTTCTAAAAAAAATATGACTTAAATCATTAAATTACCTTGATTAGCTTTAAAAATGTATTTGGGGTGCATTATGCACTATTTCTCCCCTTATTTATTATGTTGTGGGGGTGCAAAGTGCTATTAATTTGTTTTGAGGGTGCAAAATGTCAAAATATTATATTTTAAGGGTGCAAAGTGAGATTAAGCCATTTAACATGCTAGAAATGCAAAAAATGTATTGATTCCAGTTACTACGTCGTATTGAGGTCAACAAAGTCTATAACGCCCCAAAAAATAATGTATTGATTTGCAGTTAGGATAAAACAACGAGCACCACTAGTGAGCGATTCGACCCGACCCGACCCGACCCGACCCGAACCGGTACCCCGATCCAGTTGTGGTTGGTCGGAGCTCCGCCCCCATATCTCCCACACCGGAGCCCCAAATACAGTGTCGCCGGAAGAGAAACCAATTTCACCCGGGTGTTTTTTCCGGTCCGATCTCGCCTAGATCAGTCGGTAAATTTCTTCGTACTTCGCTGCCTCTTTGATTCTCTCGTTTGTTTCCATGAATCTCATTATATGTAAAAAAAAATTTCGATTCAATGATTTGTAGGTATTCTCAGGATTTGATTTATTTGATTATAATCAGTAATAAAATGTTTAGTGTCTTAATTCCTTTGATATTGAGCTTAATTAGTGAGATTAGGTTATCAATGAGTGTTTTATGAAGATTGATGATTTTGGTGGTTTGTGGATTTCATTTTGTTGAATTGTTTAATCATTTGGATCCAAATATGCAGAAGCAAATTTTCATCATGATTGGAATATTATATGAATCCTAACGTCGAAACCTAACGTCGAAAAAAATAGCTATAGAACTCGAGAATTTTCCACCGTTTGATGCGTGAGATTCGGATAAATATATGTCATTGAAAATAAGTTGCTTCGTAAATTTGTTTCGATTCACTATGACGATGAAAGGTTTTAATTGAAGCTAGCTTAATTTTTTGTTTTTGTTAGAGGACATACGTATATTGAGCTGCAAAGATGTGGAATCGTGCATCGAATTACATATCCGGAACTATAGGTCTGAAACACGAGGCGCAAAAGCATAAACACGATTCGACAGATTGCTCAGACGACGAAGCATCTTCAGTCAGAAGCACAGACGAGGCCCTCGAATGCCCGATCTGCTGGGAATCTTTCAACTTAGTCGAGAACATACCCTACGTCTTATGGTGCGGACACACACTCTGCAAGAACTGCATACTAGGTCTACAATGGGCCGTCGTAAAATTCCCAACTTTACCCCTCCAGCTCCCCCTCTTCATTTCCTGCCCGTGGTGCAATCTCTTATCCCTCCGTTTAATTTACAGAGGCAACCTAAGATTCCCCCGTAAAAACTTCTTCCTTTTATGGATGCTCGAGAGCATGAACGGCGACCGTGTAAAATCACATTCATCGGTTTGTGGGGACCACCAAAGTGTTACAGAAACGAAAGAACTTAGGAGGGGGCAATATGGTCATAATAATAATAATAATCCCGAACCATTAAGACATGGTGGTGGAGGTAATAACTTCAGCAGCTATCTTGCAATAGAAAGACTGCATCTTTCTTTGAGAAGGTTGCTCGTTTTCTTCGTTCATCTGACAGCTAAGTTCCCTCTGGTATTGATTTTCCTTCTCATCATTTTGTACGCGATACCTGCAAGCGCGGCTATATTGGCTCTGTATATAATCATTACGGTCGTTTTTGCCCTTCCGTCTTTCCTTATCTTGTACTTTGCGTACCCGAGTTTGGATTGGCTCGTGAGGGAGATTATCACGTAGTAGTGTTTCTCTTTCTCGTATTTTTTTTAATCGGATTTTTATGATGAAGAATATTTATTTGTAATTTAGTATTTGTATTGGTACAGTTCAGTTAAGTAATGGTGTTTTTTATGTAATGGTGCTGGTGGTGAAGAATGTTTGGATGGACTCGATTTTTACGCCATCGTGTTTTCGGTTTTTTGTAAGAATGTTTTGTGCATTTAAGTTAAATTTTTCAGTTTCGACATGCGACGGTTGATTTATGATTTTGTGGAATTCGACTCGAGATTTGTTGTCGGGTTAACTGAACTGGGACAGTCCTTCGATATTTCAGTTAGTTTTGAAGCCTCATTTGGATGAATTCAGTGAAGTGTATATATTTCTGAGTTTATAGAAACCAATTTATCATCCAATTAAATTTTTTGAGTTATTTTTTTTTTGAGTTTCTTTTTTTTTTTGAGTTTTTGTGATGGGTTATTTGGGAAAAAATTGTGTTTGTTCCAAAACTTTCGGAAAAAAAACTTTTTTTTTTCTTTTTTTTTTCCGGAAGTGAAAAACAAATTTCGATTCCGTTCTCAAAATAAAAAAAAGTAAAAAATCAGAAATCGCAAGTCCGGATCGGAATAAAGAAACTTATTCCAATTTATGAATTTTCTGACCAAAATCTACAGAAATTCAAAATTTTATTTTTTATTCACCTATAATATAACGTATGTCATAACATTGATACTACAGGTGATATCTTTGGATTTATTTTTGAAAATTAAAATTGGATTAGAATCATATATTCCATTTCGGATCCATAATAGTTGGAATAAAAAAAAGGTAAATTACGTCCACCCCGAGATAAGGTCAAATTATGAAAAAACCCTCATATTTAGATAATTACAACTAGTCAACTATCCTTCAATTATGAATGTTCATGCGCTTCCATTTATACGGTGTCAAATTAAGTGAATTCTTCTAGATTATGTGGAAATATTCTTCAATTTGTCCTCGTTTCACCCCATTACAGCCATACATTTGGAAACAAGATAATTATGAGATGTGTCTCTTGGTTTGTAACGAAACAAGATAATTATGAGATGTGTCTCTTGGTTTGTAACTATTAGATTGTGGTGCACCAGAAACTGCATTTTTTCACAAAAATGAATACAAACTAGAGAATATTCCACGAAATCTAGAAGATTCTGTTGAATTTGAAACCATAAGTGTGGACGTGTAAGGAGATTCATACATGGGAGGTGTTTATAATTACTCAAACAATCGTACTTTTTTCATAATTTAATCTTTCTTCGGATAGTGGCCATAATAATAATAAATAAATAAATAAAAAAAGAAAAAAGAAAAGAAAAGAAAAGAAGAAGCAATAATCAATGAGAGTAACGCCTTTTCAAATTTTATTCCCCCACTTTTAATATTCCCATTTATTTCTTGGCATGTAATTTTAATTTTAATTTTCCATAATTGAAGGAAACAAAATCAGGTGGGAAAATCAGATAAACCAAGTGTTTTGTCAACATTCGTTTTCCCCTGAACGCTTTTCTCCTTCCCTTTATTATGCTTAAAAAAACCAGCAAATAGGGGAAAATACAAAAATAAGAAAACCAGGGCTTCGATCAAAACACAATCGTTTTCTTTTTCGCAGTTTTTTGTGTGATTAGGTAATCAATCGATCATGTTTTTTTTTTTTCAATTTGAATTATCTATTATTATATTATTCTTTTTTAAATCTGTTTCGTGACAGGGGTTTCGACAAATTGATTATTGTTGTCGTGATCCTATGTTCATTGTTTTGTGATTTTTAATTGTTTATTCATTTTCTGCGATCCGATTTCTGTCAATTGTTTCCTTGTTGATTTTTTTGGCTTTTTTCGGATTAGGTACGATTCTGATTATGGCTTGTATGTATATATATATTGTATCTATCTGTATTTTTCTGTATTGAGATTTTTTTTAAGCTATTGCATTTGGTGGATTAATGGTGAAAAGATATTTTTTTTTAATTGCAGGAATTTTGGGTTTTTTTTTTCCAGCTTTTCCTTGATTGTTCATTTTGCCATGGCTGAAGAAAGTATTGATCCACTAATAATAATTCCCGAAGAAAACGAATCCGTCATTAATAAGATGGGGGGCAAAACCCTTGTCGAAAATCCATCTTCTCCGAAAACTGCAAGAGGTAAAAAACCGGATTCTTCGAAAATATTGCCCATTTATCTCAGAGCATCGACCGGTTCTTGCCATGATCTCTGTAAATTCGGAAGAAAACACGCGTCCGATGAAATTACGAGAAAGCCCCTACGCCTAAGAACTGCAAAATCTGTCGAGATCGTAGTCGTAGATAAGCCAAAGGCTTGTGCGGATAGTATCAAGAAACATTCACTTGTAGTGAATGTAGTGAAGCCTTCTAGAACAAAAACTCGCTCGCTGAATTCACCTACCGAGAAACCTAGTTCGTCGAACCCCCCTGAAATTATCAAGAGGGAAATATTACCTTCGTCTAGTGGTAATCAAATGTCGAGAACAGATAAAACGGCGTACGATCATTCTGCGAAACGTTCTTTCGTAACGGCGAAACCTTTTAATAAGGTTAAACCATCGTTCGTTTCTGACAATGTGGATCGTGTGCATGGAAATCGGAGAAGATATAGCGATGTCCAAACGAGCAAGAAGATGACATCATCCTCTATGTCAGCAAAGAAAGCACTGCTGCCTATAACTGCTTCTTCTTCGTCTCCTAAGTTTGTTAGGGGTAAGATTGTAATATCGGGCAACACTAGGAAAACCAGAACATCGCTAAAATCGATGTCTCCTTCGAAGAATGGAAGTGGAACACACAGTGTTGGTGAGGATTGTGAGAAAATTTTGCATGTTGTAGAGAATAATGCCGTGGAAGAATCTCCGTCATTACCTAATTATTCGTCAAATCCGGACTTTGATTCTTCGTTATCTCGTGAAAAAGAAAAAGACGATGAGCGTATTAAGTACGGTGAGACTGAATTCGAAGATGTCTTTGTCTCTGACAAAAACATAGTACAACCTCCGGCAGAGAGTCACGACTACATTGGTAATGAATTTGCGGCTGACGAAATTGTGTCCATTTCATCGAAAGAGATTCGAGAAGAGACTTTGGAAATGGGAGCAGAGAATAATGCAGTGGAATTGGAGTCTTCGTCTCGTTCAGACTCTGCATCTTTGTCTTCTTGTGAAGACGAAGACGAAGACGAAGACGAAGAAGAAGAAGAAGAAGAAGAAGAAGAAGAAGAAGAAGAAGAAGAAGAAGAAGAAGAAGAAGAAGAAGAAGAAGAAGACGAAGAGATCAAGAACGGTGACGAAGAATCGAAGATCGAAACTACAAAACAGAATCCAAACAAGACACTCAGAAAGAATAAGTTGGATCTTTCCGAAGATAAAAATCGCTCCCCTATAAAGTTAAAGTTCCGCAGCGGAAGAACAGTGGACCTTCGACCGGAGAATAACACCCCACGAAGACTCAAATTCAGGAGGGCAAAAATCAACACTAACAACAAACCCGATGAATTTGTCTCCGACAAAAACAAGTCTATCGGGAGAAACAACAACAGTACACAAGATGCAAAAGTGAATCAAAACAAGACTTCAATAAGAAAGAATAAAGTGGCCGTTGTTTCCGAGGACAAATATCGGGCCCCACGCTCTCCCGTGAATTTATTCAAAAGTCAAAGAAAAGTTGACCAACAATCGGATATTACAAACACTCCAACAAGGCTGAGATTTAGCAAGGCCAGAGCTTCCCAAAGGGCCGACGAGAGCAAACCCGAAGATTCTAGAAGAACCCATAGAAAAAGTGGAAGCAGAGACGATGCTGGTTTTTCGGTAATTTCGTCACGAAAGTTGGTTCTGAAGCATCAAGATTTGGAAGGGAAGAAAGATGATCAAGGGTTATTAAACAATGTGATTGAAGAAACTGCGAGTAAACTTGTCGAAACGAGGAAAAGTAAGGTTAAAGCTTTGGTCGGAGCTTTCGAAACGGTGATTTCTCTACAAGAGCGTAAGCCTTCTCGACGCAGCTGAGTGATGAGAATGTTATATATATATATATATATATATATATATATATATATATATATATATGTATATATATATATATATATATATATATATATATATATATATATATATATATATATATATATATATATATATATATATATATATATATATATATATATATATATATATAATTAAAGCTTTGTGAAGTAGATGATGATCTTGAAATTTTAGGGAAGTAACAAGCTGCTAAGTTTATTATATGCTTGTTTTTGTTGAATGCAGTGACAAAGTTTTGATTTTTGTTGTGGATATGCATTAATACGTGTTTTGTTGCTAATTATTATTATTATTATTATTGAATTATTATTATTATTATTTAAAAAATCTAAAGATGTCATCAAATAAGTCAACCGTAAAACAGTTGATTATAATTTCCATCAATTGAATATCGTCGCCAAGAGTTTAAATAATAAAAAGGGTAAATTCCACTTTACCCCCCTGTACTCTGCCCAAGAACCACTTTACCCCCTCGTACTCTTAATTTTGTCGATTTACCCCCTTGTACTTGTACGATTTTCCAATACAACCCTCTTCGTCAACTTTTTTTCGATTTTGACTCCGACGCCATTTGGTCAAGAGTCAAAATATTGACGTAAATATTGAATTTTTTCGATTTTGACTCTCGAGATTAGAAAAGAGAAAGTTTCACACATTCATATATTTTTTTCTTTGCACTAGGTGGAATCGATCAATTTTTGGGTCTTGATTTTTACTAAGTTAGGGGTTCAATTTGGGGATATCTTGGAAGGGGAAGTGGTGGGAGAAGAAGAAATGACAATATTGACGGAGGACAAACGACGCGTTATAGGCAGTGGCAATTTTGTAATTTACAGAGTTGACCAAATGGCGTTAGAGTCAAAATTGACAAAAATTGAAGGAAAGGGCTGTATTGGGAAATTGTACAAGTACAAGGGGGTAAATCGATAAAATTGAGAGTACGAGGGGGTAAAGTGACTCTCAAGCAGAGTACGAGGGGGTAAAGTGGAATTTACCCTAATAAAAAATAGCACAATTTGGGCTATTGCTAAAGGGAGTGAAATTAATTTAAATTAAATTAAAATTAAAATTAAAATTAAAATTAAATTTAAATAATTTCACCAAAACGAAGGCAATCTAACGTGCATATAGCAATCATGATATACGACCTGTGCTAAAAACACAACGAACGACCACTAGCTTAACAACACGTCACCCAAACAAACTCCACGTCAGCAAGAAAAAAACAATAGTATTATATTGTTTCAAGATTTAAGTGACAGCACGGTGGCTTTATCAAAACCCCAAATAAATATATATAAAAAAATAAAAATTGTTTCTTTGTTTTAGATATGCAAATTGCAACCCCAAAGCCCTTCTTCGTTACTCCATTCTTAGCTTTTGCAGAGAATCCCTCAGCTCAAATTCTTCTCCGAATTCAAGATTGGGCTGAAAACTGATTCTTGAAATAGGTAAAATTCGAAGCATTTATTGCCAGCTCATCAGGTGTTTTCTTCAATTTTTTTTTACGGTTCAAGATTTGCAAATCCCTAAAATCTTGATTTTTTTTTGTTCGCAGCTTAACTTGTGGGATTGTGTGCTGAAAGCGAGCTGCATTTTGTACTGAGGTAGAATTTTGTGGGTTTTTAATTTCGAAGTTTGTTTTGATTTATTGTGTTCATTTCTTCTTGCTTTTAATTGGTAATTGTATATATTTATTTTTTAATTTTAGTTTTTGTTAGAATAGTTCTTGGATGGTGAATAAATCTTGATTCTATGAGATTTTAAATGGGTTTTAGTTGGGGGAGTAATTAGGCCCTAATGATTGTGGATTAGTGAGTTCGTTGCTACTAATGCAGGTTAAATTAACTAATGCATGCGAATTTAATCTGATAAAATTTATTTAAGGATTCTTGTGGATGAAAAAAAGCCTCGATTGCTGTCTTCTTTTCGTTATTTTTATTGCTAATTATCTTAACTCGACTTTACTAAAAAAAAAAAGTTAACGAATTGTGATTTGCACGAGTCACTTGGAAATGTATGATTGCTAATGCTGTGTCAAGTATGGCTACACTTAGTTGTTAGATTGAAGTACTCCTACTCATTTCTGTCCCGTTTTTCGTGTGATTTTCGTTAATGTGTTTGCACCTTGGTCAATGAGTTGCTCTACGTATGCAGTGCCAATAAACTCTCTTATTTAATGCTGGTTGTATATTAGTAAAACCGCACGAGTGATGATAATTCGACTTTTTTGCTGCTACATTTCGTCAAAGAAAATCTTGATTCTCCATAAGAAGATACCAAAAGATATATGAGGGATGAGTAAATTTGCAACGGTGTGTAATTTACGTATTAAGAAAACGCATAGAGATGCTTTTATTTTGTTGTTCTTTGTGAAAGTTGTATAAGTCACATAAGACTTCGACACTTCGTACTTGCTAGAGTTCGATTTGTGATTTTTGCGCAAATTCATATTTTTTTATTTTCTAATTTTTCAGGCGAGAAAAAAATGAAACTCACGAAGCAATACCGATGCTCACACTCACCGACATGCGCATGCATGAAAGGCCACCTCAGCGAAGAAATCATATTCCTAGTCTTCAACCACCTCAACTGGAACCCTAAACTAATCGCCACCCTCTCATGCGCATGCAAATGGTTCGACGACCTCGCCAAACGTGTCCTCTGGAAAGAGTTCTGCAAGACGCGGGCCCCGAAAATGATGATCGATTTGCAGTCGAGTGGGTCCCACAGTGTCGACGGTAACTGGAGAGCACTAGGCAAGCTCCTCATATACTGCTCCGGTTGCAAAAAAGACGGTCTTTTTAGCACCGCTCAAATTCCGGGCCATTTTGTTTATCGGACACGTTTTTCAAGAACTTCCGGAAAGAGCTTTTTATTACCGCAGTGTCGGTCGGATGTTTTGTACGTGTCTGATCCTTGTGAGCATCTTGACCAAGGTGAGGAAGGGGATGTGGGGTTTTTTCGGGGGGTGTTTAAGTCATTTGGCGCTTCGAAGGTGAGGAAAATGCTGATCAGGAGGAACGCCCCGCTGCACCCGACTGAGGTTTGCCCTTACTGTAAGGCGAAGCTATGGAATATGCTGGCGGCGAAGATGATTCCGACGAGCGCCAGCTGTCGCCTAGGCTCGTACGATGATTGCATAGAGTACTACGTGTGTCTGAACGGGCACGTGCTTGGGATTTGTACGCTTTTGCCCTTGTCTGATACGGATGAAGCTGCTTCGGAGGAGTGATGGTGATGATTTTTTTGTGCCTTGACTGTTACGTTTCGGTTGCTGTTGTTTCTTGCAAGTGTTGTTTTGTTACTATTAACTGTTTTTTTTTTTTTCCTTTCTTTACAATGTATGTGACCTCCTCTGCAGTGTACTGAATCGGAACGAAGAAGCTTGTAATATAAGATGGGGATTTGTTCTGTATTTTAATGTCTTGCCGAGGGGGAAATTATATCGTTTTCGATGCTTGATTCTCTCGGTTTAGCTGTACCCGATTAATTCAATCTTGATAATTGATTGTATATGCACATGAAACTGAGAATGTGGTGTAAATAATTTGCAGGATCTTGATCTCTAGTCCCCTGTTCTTGATTTTAATTTCGGATTCTCGATTGGTTCGGTAGATAAATGTACCATAATTAATTTAATACTGGAACTTTATTTCGTGATTTGTTAGTTCACCACAAAAATGATTTCAAATATACTCGATGAGATAATCAATCGTATTTATTACTCCATAAATTTAGATATCGAGACTCCTAATCGTAGACTAGAATTACAACTAAGTATTTCATACGAGAAATACAACGCATCTTCTCACATTGTCTGAGAGAAAGCTGCTTCTTGATCTTCCGAAGAAGCACCTGAACTCGAATCTAACTTTCTGAAAACGAGCTTCTGCTGCGGAAGTTGACCGTTGGAGAAAGCGGTGACTTCAGTGTCGACATATATAGTTTCCTCGTCTTTGAAATCTCCTCTCAAGATTCCCTTGGCAAGCTCGTTTTCTACGTACTGTTGGATCACACGTTTTACGGGCCGAGCTCCGTAGTTTGGATCATAACCGAGACTGCTTAGAAGTTGAACTGCAGCATCACTCACTTGAATCTTCATCTTTCTATCGGCTATCCTCTTCTGCACTCTTGCCAACTGTTTTTGAGACATGGAGAAAAAGATTTAGTGGATCGAAGCCTGATTACAGTAAACAAACAACTTTTTTGAACGGGAACGTGAAACAAGTTAAGGCCTCGTTTGGTTGCCAAGATAAGATGATTAGAAAATTTTATGAAAACCATTATCAGACTAGAGGGGGTCCATGCACAATTTCTTAATAAATCAAGATTCTGTTTTTTCACAATTGCAGGTTTGCCTGAAAAAGAAGGGCTCATTTGGTTGCTAAAAGATAAGATCAAATAATCTAACACGATCCCAATTATATTATCGGACCATGCGAGGTCCAATAAATAATCTCCCTAAGAGGCAAGAATCAAGATAGGCCGTGATAAAATAATATTTCCGGGTCGACCCAGAAAATTATAGGATTAACCAAACATGAAACAAAGTCCAATTATTTCATTAATCATTCCCCAACCAAACGAGGCCTTATAATTTTTATAGATCACCACCAAAGAAGAAAGACTAACCTGTAACTTAACAATACTGCCGATCTGATCACGGTCCAACGGTTGGAATACAATGTACTCATCAACACGATTCATAAACTCGGGGCGGAAAATCGATCTCGCAGCCTCCATAACCCTCCTCTTAATCGTCTCATAAGCCATCTCCTTCGGAGAATCATCATCCTCTGTATTCAATATATACTGCGACCCCACATTCGAAGTCATAATAATCACAGTATTCGTGAAGCTCACAGTACGCCCTTGCGAATCAGTCACCCTACCATCATCCAATATCTGAAGGAACACATTAAACACATCCGCATGCGCCTTTTCTATCTCGTCGAATAAAATAACTGCGTAAGGCCTTCTCCTCACTATCTCAGTCAACTGCCCTCCTTCCTCGTACCCAACGTAGCCAGGTGGCGCTCCGATCAATCTTGAAACCGCGTGCTTCTCCATGTACTCACTCATATCAATTCTTACTAAAGATTCTTCGGTATTGAATAAATATGCTGCTAATGCCTTCGCGAGTTCGGTTTTGCCAACACCTGTGGGGCCCATGAACATGAAGCTGGCGATTGGACGGTGTGGATCGGAAAGGCCTGCTCTTGATCTTTGTATGGCTTCTGCCACTGCTTTTACTGCAGGGTTTTGACCTACGACACGATTGTGAAGTTCTTGCTCCAGATTTAAGAGCTTGTCTCTTTCGGATTGTTGGAGTTTCGAAACGGGGATTCCGGTCCATTTGCTGACGATTTCTGCTATGTCGCTTCCGGAAACTTCTTCCCTAAGCATGGACTTTCCGGACCTCATGTACTCACCGAGTTCCTTTTCTGCGGTGGCCAGCTGGCGCTGTAGAGAATTTAAGCTCCCGTATTTTAATTCGGCTGCACGGTTGAGGTCGTACTCTCGTTCGGCTTGTTGGATCTCGAGATTTACTCTGTCGATCTGTTGAAAATTTGGTCAGTACTTTACAAATGAAATCGGACGGATCACATCAGATTTAGCATTTTCAAAATAAAACCCCATTTTTTTTCCGGAAGTGGAAAACTATATTAAACTCCATTCCAAAAAAAATCGGAAAAACCCAGAAACCGGAATGAAAAACAATGTTCAAGTATCGGATAAGGATCGGCGAAATTTACATAACCTAAAATTATAAAATGCATAATAATTTTTATATTGCAAGTTTCTTCAAAAATAAATAAAAAAATCGGATTTTTTGGAAAAATCTGGTTGAAAATCGGAAACTCATGTATATTACAATTCCAATCTAGAATTTTTTTTTTTTGAAAAATTGGAAATTGGAGACGGTGGAAACTGGAAATTTTGTTTCAATTTCCAACACATATTTCTACTTATGATGGGAGAAAAAGATATGCATATTCCCCATATAAACGTCTCCACCATGCTGAACTAAGTACTAAAACGATGCATTATTCGGGAAGAAAAATAACACTATCATGCTGAACTAAGAATGGAACACTTACCTCTTCCTTAATAGACTGTATGTTTGTCATGACATTCTTTTCGTGTTCCCACTGCTGATTCAGCTCAGCTTGTCTCTGCTTTAAGAGAGACAGTTCAGCTTCAAGGCGATTCAACCTATCTTTTGTCGCCTTGTCAGTGTCGTTTGTCAGAGATAGCCTTTCCATCTCGAGTTTTAGAACAGTACGGTTAATCTCATCTAGAGCTGTTGGCTTCGAAGTAATCTCCATTTTCAGTTTGGCGGCTGCTTCATCAACCAGGTCAATAGCTGCGAAATTGGATTTTATTAGATTTGGAGAGTCGGTAATCTTTTTCTTTTTATAGCAACTGGATAAAGTTGCGTACCTTTGTCAGGAAGAAAACGACCACTAATGTAACGGTCTGATAAAATAGCAGCTTCCACAAGTGCACTGTCCGAAATGCGGACCCCATGGTGCAGCTCGTATCTTTCTCTTAGTCCACGCAAAATAGAGATAGTGTCTTCCACTGTAGGCTGGTCAACATAAACTTGTTGAAAACGTCTTTCCAAAGCTGGATCTTTTTCGATGTATTTACGATACTCATCTAAAGTAGTTGCTCCAATGCATCGTAACTCTCCACGGCCAAGCATGGGCTTTAACAGGTTGCCAGCATCCATAGCCCCGCTTGTAGCACCTGCAAAGAAACTTGGGTTAAAAAAAAAGAAAAAAGAAAACGAAAATCAAATTTACACGAATATTAACTGTTTTAACTGTTTAGATAACTAACCTGCACCGACTACTGTGTGAATCTCATCGATGAAAAGAACTATTTGGCCATCGGAATCGGTGACTTCCTTAAGTACGGCTTTCAGTCTATCTTCGAATTCTCCGCGGTATTTTGCACCAGCAATGAGAGCTCCCATGTCAAGAGATATTAGCTGTGCATCAAGAAAAAAAAGGAACTTTTTGCTTCAACTTTTTGGTGTTTCACAAGGAAAAGCTTACACGTACATAAAAGAAAACAAAGCACCGTGGCATGTCAATATGGACAGTTCAACCTGACATGTACACACTACTTACTCACCCGACGATTCATCAAAGCCTGAGGAACATCTCCTTGCACAATTCTCTGCGCAAGCCTGCCATTCAGAGTCAAGAGTAATATCATAGCCCGGCAATATAATTAATCACGAACAAGAAAAATGCTGATGGAGCTCGAGTTTGAAGAGGAAAGAGAAATTAGCACATGTAAACCAAAATCCCATATAAGTAACACGAGATAGTAAATGATGTTTTGTTCGCTTACCCTTCGGAAATTGCAGTTTTTCCGACACCTGGCTCGCCGATCAGAACAGGGTTATTCTTGGTTCTCCTTGACAGAATCTGTATGCATCTACGTATTTCATCATCTCTTCCTATAACAGGATCCAGCTTTCCTGCTCTCGCCATGGCCGTCAAATCTTTTCCATATTTTTCTAGTGCTTCGTATTTTCCTTCAGGGTCTGCGGTAAAACATAGAGATCAGATTTGCTCGGTATTTTTACAAAGAACATGAATGGCATGAGCCATACATAGATACACAAAATTAGAAAACACAACCACCAAACTAATATGTTGGCTAAGATATCTTACGATCCTTGCCTGAGCAGTTCTTAATTTTCAAGAAAAAAATAATTTAATTGGGTTTAGAATCATTCAGCAGTTTCCAAATGTATGGGCACACAGTTTCTATCCAATTTTATAAACCTTCAACGAAATCTAAAATAACAATAATGTTGTTCAGAAGAAACATAAGGTAAAATTGAAAATACAGCTTCCTCAAGATGAATGCAAGAAGAATCCATAGAATCCCTCCATCAACTTCTTAAAAGCTGAGGCCCTATTTCGTGGAGTACGTGTGAATAGATACTACAAATTAAATAACTCAATTGCCAATATATCTGGTGGATAATGGCAATTCTGATATTTTTCCTCAGAGATCAAGATTATATCAATACATATCGGATCAAAAACATCTAATTAGACACTATGGCCAAGAAACTTAAGTGGAAGTACCAACACCTATTGACAGAACAGGTAATTTTACACCCTCCGTAATAACCTAACAAATTCGTATTACCCAAAAATGCATAATTTGCTGCAACAATGGGAAACAGGAGAAACAACAACTCAAGAAAAATGTCACAGAATATATCAGCACCAAAAAGAGAAATTGCTACCTTGGTCTATAACAGTTTGGCGTCCCCTTACGGACTGAATGGCATCCTTCACCGATTTTAGTGAGAGTTGAAAATCTTTAAATAATTGCTTCCCAAACCGATTATCTTGTGCAAATCCAACAACTAAATGCTCGACTGACACAAATGAATCACCAAGCTCTTTCTTGTACTCCCTGGCTCGCTGTATCAGCCCTTCCAGTTCTCGTCCTAACATTGATCCAGCTGAATCACCAAGAACCTAAAAATCATATAAAAATTTCACATCTCGTACTGTCACCCGATAAGTAATCGACATAAATCTAGATATTGACCAAAAATTGTAAATGCTTGAAAAACCAGACCACTTAAACTGATGGCTGCTAGACATATAAAAACAGCATACGTGCTGAATACATGTGTTAATAATATTGCCGATTATTTACGTTCCGGTCGCCGATTGCTTCGCTGATTACAAATTTTATTAAACAAATGGCATACAAATATAAAAACGGATAAAGATAACTAATCTCCTATCCAATCAATTCACACACAAGAGTACAAGTAAACTCATTAAAACTACCTTCGGCTGACGCTGAATGTACTTATCCGTAGCTTCGAGAAGTCGAGTATTATCCACACCGGCCTTGGAAAATATACGACGAGCAAGCCCATTCTTCTGCTCCAGTAGAGCCTTCATCAAATGCTCAGTCTCCACAATCTGATGCTTATTCTCCTTCGCCACTTCCGGCGAAGCCACAATCGCTTGCCACGCCATTTCAGTAAATTCCGCCTGTGTAATCTGCTTACAACAACAATTAACAACAACAACAACGCATCCAATTACAACAAATAAAAAGGTTAAATCGAAAATGAACTCACTCTTCCATTGGACGAGGCATCGCACCGCACGCGGAATGAGCGCGAATTTCTGGTAAATTCATCCGATTTTCTGGTAAAGGCGGCGTCTTTAGGTCTCAATTTCAGTGAATTGAGATTCCTCAGGTGTCGGAGCTTCGCTGAAAGGTTGATGGACACCATCGGACGGGGGAACAAGGCGGTTGTACTTGTACCCGGAGTATCAGGCCGCCGGAGATTAAGCTGCACGGCGGCGAGCGACGACGTAGAAGCCATGAAACGGAACTCAAGTAAAATCAAGGGTTTTGGAATTCACCGGCGAGAGAATTGAGGGAGATTCTGCGATGAGTTAGTTGATGGGCGGAGGAAATTTAATTTAAATGAAAAAAAAAAAAAAAAGTGTGAGAAAAATTCTAATATATTCTGGGAGGTTCGAGTTCGTATGTGTATGTGTGAGGCTAAATTAGAGTGTTCTGGATGTGTGGGTTTTGCTTCGGTTACACGCGGGTGAGATAGGAGATTGGTACTACTACACTTATATTCTGCCACGTGGCAGTACGTGAATGTTACGTTCTTTTCTCTTTTTGCCCCCCACTAGATTCGGCTTCGATCTTTGTGAAGGTTTGTTATTTATGAGCATTTTATGGAGTTTCTTCTACCATTTGTAATAGGGGTAAATTACGGCTAGACCCCTGAAGTAAAGTTAAATTACGAATTTTTTTTGTTTGTTTGCGCAATTACAAATACCGCACAATTATAATATTTTTAACGTCTACCGTTGCGGTGTCAAATTGGAATTTTCTAAATTATATGGTATATTCTTTAGTTTTTATCAGTTTTACCCCATTCGATTTCCACATTTTGAAACAAGATGATCATAAGATATGTCTCTTGACTTGTAATATCAAATTGTGGTACATCAGAAACGGCATTTTAGCACAAAACAATGTAAGAAGGTTCATAATTGAGGGAATGATGTAATTACCCAAACAAAAGGGATTTTTTTGAAATTTAATCTTATCTCCGGGGTTTGTCGTAATTTACCCTATATACAAATTATTTTCCCTCGTTTTTAGGGCTTTCGGCGCAGAAAAACAGAACAGTTAAATAGTTTCAACTTTCAAATACTAATATATTTTTTTATGAAGATAACAAAAATATATTTCAAAAAAAAAAAAAAATGAAAGAATTAAAGTTTTATTGTAATGTGTATTCTTTTTTTCCACTTTTTAAGTGAAGAAGGATGTTTCTACAGGGTGTAAAGGCAACAAATTTGCATTGAAGATATGATCTCTAACTTGATTCCTTAACCACACACACACACACACACACACACACACACACACACACACACACACACACATGTGTGTGTGTGTGTGTGTGTGTGTGTGTGTGTGTGTGTGTGTGTGTGTCCATTCTTTCTTCTGTCTGTTGTTTGATTCAGTAACAAGAAAGGAAGAAATTGGTGAAAAAGGAGACTTCAGTTTTACTCATCCAAGAACTAGGGGGCATCACACACACACACACACATGAGCGCGCTCGCGCGCAGAAAATCTGGGAAATATTGCAGGGAAATACATTTCGAATAAACTAGGGGGCATCCCTTTTGTTCGTTTATATAAACTAGAAAGTCGTGAACGCATACCATCAAACATGACCGTTTTATCGCCACATCAGTAACTAACAAATTAATCCGATAAAATGATTATTCCAAAACAAGGGAAAGAAATATTCAATCGAAGTAAAAAAAAAAAAAACCCGGGAATCACAGTAAAATAATCTCCGTAAAGGGGAGAAAAAAAAAGAAAACTTTCATATCACTCGCTTTGGATATAATATTCAAGAAATTTACTACGCTTTCTTCGTTTTCAAAATAAATCGAGTAAAGTACCTAACAATAGGTAATGCATTTGCGTCTTCTCGAATTAACTCCGTCTTATAATATCACACAACCGCATTTGTTCTGCTTAGGATCATCACTGTGCACTTTTTTTCTCTCTGTCACAAACATATAGCAAAAAAAGAAAGAATTCAGAAAAAAAAAAAAAAAAAGTTCATCAAGAAAAGGCAAACCCGAAAGGGCAAAGTTGGAATTTTTGAAAAATAGGTACCTTTTTGCGTGGGTGGTGGTTGAACGAGAACGTGCATGGTTGTGACTCCACCTGGAATATCGTATAACGGGTTCTTACATTCCCCTACGGTTCGATTGTTCTCTAATATTCGTCCGCCGCTAATAAGTTTGATGTCTTTTAGCGTGCGTGGAGCATTGCCTTTGTCTGTTTAAAATACGTAATATTACGAACCGTAGCATACGATTAAATAACTAAAAATAATTAGATTATAATTCATCTAAGAGAGTAGTCAGTTGTAATTTGCCATCTAGGAGGTGGGGTAAAGATGAAATTTAGTCTAATAATGATAATCCATTGAGCTCGTTCGAATGAATTCATTTGAGAAGCAACTTCAAATTCATTGCACTAATTTCGAACTATTTTTTTTGGAATCATTCGAAAATCATTCCCCTAATTAGTTATCCTTTCATCCCGTTTGAGATCCTACAAAAGCTTACGGTTATAGGACAAAATGTAACTACAACTATATCTAAAGTCGTGCGTATTTCGGTCGAATAGAGGTTCTAGAATATGAAAATGAGACTTTACACAATGTAAGAGATAATAGCATGTGGAAAATACGATAGTTACTATATTCGCTAAATAAAAATCCATATCTATATGCCTATAACACTATTAAACGGCCATCAAATGAAAGATTCCGAATTTGCGTTTCATCTTCAAGAAAAAAATTGCGACTCGAGTATTACATAACCTATCAAGAAACGCAAATAGGCAACCATAATTAAACAGAACACCAATTCATCCCATTGAACCATTGCATCAATATTCATGGAAGAACACAACTAAACAATTTCACTCATAGTCAATCACATTTATATAGACACCATATATATATACACATATATACATGTATATATATAGATATGAAGAAGTTGAAAGATTGAACCTTTAGGCCATTGAGCTATGATATCCTCCTTCAAGGATGACACCCTTGTAGCACAAGAAAACTTTTTCGGGCCGATATCCGATCCATCGTTCAACCTAAACTTGATCTCAAGCTGATCTTCTTCAACAGACATCTTCAAATAAATGTCACCACTATACTTGAAAATTTTAAATTTAAAAAAAAATCAAGAATCTTCAATCTTCACTTAATCACTTCTGCAAACCAATCAATTCATAAATCCCACTTCTCTAAAAAACAAATCCCCCCAAAAATCAAGAACCGACTCAATTATTAAAAAAAAGTATAAAAAAATCAAGAATCTTCAATCTTCACTTGGGCCCTTTTGCAAACCAATCAATTCATAAATCCCACTTCCCTAAAAAACAAATCCCCCCCAAAATCACAATTATTAAAAAAAAAATTAAAAATTTGTTCTTGACTGTGATTTACTTCACAATATGAGTTTAATACCCAAATATGAATCCAAAAATTGAAAAGAAAATCAAGAAAGATGGGTGCAGTACAATCTTGAACAACAGCTTTTTTTCTCCACTTCCCCACAAAAAACTCAAGATGGTTTCTCTTTCTTCTCTCTTATAATTCTTTGAATGATTCAATGGAAAATAAATATATAATTATACATATATATATATATATACACGAAATGTTTTTATCCGCTCGAAAATCAAATAAAAAAAAAAGTCAAACCGAAACGATCTGGGATCCACTTACTTCTCTCTCTCTCTTTTTTTTTCAAGAAACAATAAACCCCAAGATGATTTATTAAAAAGAAAAAAAAAAGAATTAATAGAATCGGCTTAAGGCGTGAAACGCGTTAATTACTTATTAAGAACCCATGATTAACAGATATTTTGTGCTAATTAATTAGTCAAAATCTGGCAGTAAATGGAAAGAGGGAATGCTGATAGAAAGAAAGTCTGAGGGTGTTTTAGGGTTTTCACATTCTGACGGTGGCAATTTTCGAAATCAGCGAATTTTATTTGAATCTCCATCTCTTTGGATTTTTTTTCTTTTTTTTTCTAGAACCAATTCTCTGCAAATTCTTTTTAAATAATTATATTTTTTGTTTTGTTTTAAATATAAAGTAGTTATAGTCTTTTGTTACGATAATATTTTTTTATCAAGGTATATAGCACTTCAAATTAGAATCGAAACGAACAATTGGACTCGGGTAGGTCCGACTCATAGTTTGTTAGGCTTAACTCAAATAAAATCGGACCAAACAATCGAGCTTTAGATAGGCCCGACTCAATTATTGGTCTAGATATTTGTATAATTTTAATATTTGTTACACCTTTGAAATGAAACAATTTATGATGCAATCACTTTGGCAATTATTTCATAAAGAATCTAAGTTATTCCATCTACATGCAATAAAATAAATATCCAAATATACCATGCCATAATAAATATCCATCATGTGTAAGCATCTACCATTTATTTACAAACGAATTACATATATTCTTACATATAATGGATTATGAATTTACATTGATACACATTCACACAAACAAACATATAATAATGGCGGCAAATTACGGCCCAACCGTGAAGTAAGATCAAATTACGAAGAAAAATACTTTTTGTTTGGGTAATTACAACCACTCCCTCAATTATGTATTGGTCTTACGAAAAAACTCGTTCTTCAGTAGGTAAATTTAACATCATAAGTGTGTAAGACAATACATAACTAAGAGGTGGTTGTAATAATAACCCAAACAAGATGTCTTTTTTCGTAATTTGACATTACCTCAGGGATGTCCCGTAATTTGCCCGAATAATAATAATGTAGACAGGAATCAAAAGAAACAGATATGATATAAGATTTTATGAAAGAATAATAATCTGCACAATCTAAAATGTGTAGAACAAATTATACAATAAGAGGTACTCAACAAGTAAAACCTATGTTGTTTTCTAACTCAACAAGGTTTTCCTGTAATAATAACGACAACAACAACAACCTCGATAACCTATCGACGACAATAGCCATTAAAAAAACATAACGAAAAAATAAAAATGGTGGGATTACAAAAATTTCAACAGAAAATGGGAAACAAAATAAAGGAAAAAAAAAGAATATTTTTTATAGCCAATGGGGCCGAGAGTGGGAAGCCTTACAGAGAGACGACCTTCGTTAGGTCTTTTCTCTCGGTTCAACGATAAGATGCGCTTCATCGAAAAGCTCGTATAACGTTTGTTTTCCTTTTTCGAAGCTCTAAGAATAAGGTCAAAATATAGTGTCTTTTTTTTTTTTTTTTTGGTACCAACTGCTATTTTACAGGCTGAAAAAAATGACTCCACATGCCCAATAAAAGGTTTTCTTCTTCAAGAAACGAGGGACAACGTAATCCAAGATTGGGATATACCGATTAATATGTATATAAATATATATATATAATTTTATTTATTTTTGCAATCCTTTTTTTTGTCCCATCATTTCATTATGGTGTGTGGTGTGTTGGTTGATTAACTAATACTACTCCAACACGTGGCAGTTCCTAATGAAATCATTGGAGTAGTTAACGTACTTGGTCCAAAACGGGCGGAGATGCTCAAAACCAATCTCGAGCCATGGTTTTGATGGGCCGTTGTAGTGAATCACCGCCGCCTTTTTCACAGACTCTACATCGGTCTTATTCTGATAGCCCAGTCCAAGCATGTGCCACGAGGGGTCGATTGGGTGTACGTACCCTTTGAATGCAATCAATGCAGGAGGAAGTGTTCCGAGTTTCCATAACGTCATATTTGACTTCAAATTCTGCAAAAAAGAACATGAAAAAATCGGAAATTTTCTTAAAAATAAAGTTCAAAATTTTTGATGTACCTCTTTAAGCCAGGAGTGGTAAGTGTCTCGAATATTTGTTTTTCTCCATGCACGTAAATCGAAGATATTCATTCCGTATGCCCATGCACATTCATCTGGATCCAGATTATTTGATATTAGTGGATGAGAGAAGTTGAAATAGTTCCTAAGCCTTTTGGACATGACCCAATCATCTACGCCTTTGCAAGTTTCGACTGCTCCGTTAATTTTTCCATTAAGGTCAATGTCCCAGAGAGGAGACAAATCGCGTTGAATCACGACGTCGTCGTCCACGAATACCAGCTTGTCAAGGTTTGGAAATAGCTGCAGAACATAACAAAAATTTTATTATTTGCATTGATTAAGAGAAACGCAAATGAGTAGGATAATGGATTATATCAGATAAAATATTCACAGAGACGATTTTCAGTTCCAACTGTGATATAACAACAACGTAAGGAAAACAACCATGTAGAACATGTTTCAGGAAAATTTCTACTCAAATTCAATCGATAAAGAGAAACACACACTCTAAGGCAATGTTTGGAAGCGTTTTGGAACTTATTTTGATTTCATTTTGAGGAAATATGTTTTGGGGGAAGAATTTGAGAATGAAAGTCATGTTTGTTTATATGTGTCTGGGATAGCATGGAAAAAAAGCTCTTGAGCAAGAATTAGCAACCCTTTGTATAGAAAATGGAAAGTACTTACTTTGTGGACAAACAAACTAATATACTGAACACAACGTGAAAGAAAGAGTTGATCACTGAAATATAAATTGAAAGTCCAAGCTTCATCTGAAGGGGCTGATTAGCTATGTGTAAACTTTGAGATCATATCACTCGTTGCAAAAGAAAGTATCATGCTTAATGGGAGAAATATAAATTTCTCCCCTGCGTAATTTGTTTGTTTCAAAACCCCCATAGATATTTATAAAGAAGGAACAACAACAGCTCAGTTTGTCTAATGGCATATTGCAATATTACCTCTGATAGTTGCATAATGTTTCCAAATAAAAGTTTAAAATGACGTGGAAGAGCATATTCTCAGTATCAACTGATTACCTCGGGAAGATATATCCGAAGATGGTTGAGCAATGATATATACTTTGGACTTCTAGCCTGCAATTTCGAGGCAAATGCTCGGAGAGTCGTATCAGTAAGATTGGCTCCAGCAATGTGATTTCCGTGGTAGTAATTACGTATCCCGTAGTGGTTCTCGACAGCTTCAAGAACTGGGACATTTTCTCTCGTTAACCAATCGAACTGATGAATACCTTTCACTTCAACTATAGCAGGGTACATGGGATTTAAGGCAAACCACGAATGCATGCCTGCATAAGTTTTCTTGTCGGTTATGACATGGAAAATAATCTTTTCAGGGTTTAGAGATGACTGGACAGCAGATGCTACAACAACTGCAGCAGCAAGAATGTTGTCAGTTGACAACACAAAGTGGTGGTGGGAGTTGTCTGAAAGCAAGGGGAGCAACTCCGGAGATGGTAACTGCCTGCGTGCATGTGCATTGGAAGAATATTCATCGGTGAGCCTCAATGAAAGACAGTGAATGGCCTTGGGAATTGCACTAGCTGCAAAATGTTTACTCATCAGCTCAGCAAGCTTGGATGCCCTGATCTCCCTTTCGGACCTCTCCATCTGTAGGACGAAAAATAAAATAAAATTGTCAAATGAAATTTTTTCTTGCTTTGGAGAATCCATGAGAATTTACACTAAATATAGGAGACAAAATGGTTATAACAGTAGCAGTAAGGCAATACATGTTAACTGCATTGAGAGAAATAAATGCTTCAGTAATTCTTGTCGAAAACATCTACGCTGCATCATAGACATTAATTAAACAGGAAGAGTGCCAGCAAAAGCATCTCGTGATCACAATAGCACAGCTGGTGAAATTAACTTCAACAAAACTGTGTGGAAGGACAAAAGAAAATATTTTTCTAAAGCCATCAAAACTTATCGGTATTAAGAAGCACTACATTTATACATAGATCATAATTTCCATTGCAAAATATTGTAATTTTGTGAATATAAACTATCCCGATCATCAAAAGATGCAATAACCTTAACTTGATGAATGTATTTCAACACACTCCAGCTCTTCTCAACAGTTAAATTTAAACACCATGGAAAAACTATTTCGTGTCCCAACAAAACCTGCTAGTTCATCAACGTGGAGAGCGTGTTTGTGTGGATGGTGGAGTGAAAAACTATGTAATCGTACATATTCGATGGTAAAATAACTCTTTGTAAATTCAGCAAAAGTGTTCATGGAGACAAGGCTGGTGGAATAATTTCAGCAATGTATAAGTGAGTTTCTGAGATGGACAGTGGTCAGGAAACACTTACCATTCCTTTAAAAATCAAAGCAAACTCCTTGGAATTGTACTTGTTGCTTTTCATTTCGGAAACAAGTTGACTAAAAGATTCTGGAAGCTTTAAACTATCGGGGACTTCCTCGGAATTCACTTGATTCAGGATTTTAACAAAGTCCTTGACCAGCCTCTATCATAAGAACAACAAACATAAAGTTTCAGCAATGGTTTTAAACATGGATCGCTATAAGTACTAGGTGCTAATAATGCACTAAATATATCAGATCAATACTAGTAGGAAAAATAATAGAGTTTACCCCAGAATCATCAGTTCTACCAAGAAGCTTGGGCCCCAATCTTCGCCCTAAACAATCTGAATATATAGAAAAGTAAATTTCAGACAGTTTGCAGCTTTTTGATATAGAATGAACAAAATAACGTGACAATCAGATGGAGAAAGGGAACAAGCATACAGAAAACACATATAAAGCAAGAGCCAGGAACACGGGCAGGTAATAAACTGCCCGTGTTTTTTCACCACTTTTTATCGCACATCCACAGACGCAAAGACTAGCAATGGTACTCAATTTATCACCAAAAGAACATTATAAAATGATAGCCAGCTACAATGGGCTCTGGAGACAGGACACTATCGTTACTACAAATCACAGAGTTACACAGCAGAAGAACTAATCAACTGAAAACAAGAAGCAAATGAATATGCCCAAATATTTCAGCTTCAGACATGCACAAAAATGCAGATCAAAATGAGAGGTTGGAAACGAGAGCTGAAATAACGTATTTCAATAGAACTTCTGAAAGAAGAAAATGAACTATGTTACCGCTGAAAGAAGATCGGAACTGCCGCCGAAAAGCACAAACCCTCCTAATCAAGATTAAACTAATCTTGAAAATCTATACACATAATTGAGTATTTTTTGTTTATTTGTTTAAGCTTACTCGTTACAGACAGGAGGAACATAAGAACCATAGCATGCACAGCATAAATAAAAAATTCAGATCCAACACCGACATATACAACTTCAAAAGTCAGAACACAGAACAAAATCAATATTTATACTCAATCACCTAAAACAAACCCAATCCAAATAAAACTAACAGCATTAAGATCAAATTAAATCATAACAAACACGATACAAATTAGACATTGGGTGGACAAAAGGGAAACGAGGGAGAGTACCGAACGAGGAGCACTTGTTGACACCTTCGAGTGTGACGAGTGCGGTGAGAATGAAAACAAACGGCAACAAAAAAGCAAGTATGAGAATGGTGTGGAAGAGCGTGCGATACGAGAAGTGGCGAGCTGCGACCTTGATCTTCATCAAATCCCCGCATCCTCCATTTACATTTCCTCCGCTGCTGCTCGAAGATATTGTTATACTTCTCATGCTAGGTGAGAAGTGCAGCTGCATCTTCCTCCACCTCCGCCACTATTCTCCTCTTTCCTCCTCCTACCACCGACAAACCACCGCTGGCACCACCCGCCTCCACCGCCAATGCTAACAACACTCTTCGAATATAACCGCCCTGATAAATTCCTTGAATTTGACAATGAACTCTTCACCATCAGATCCGCCACCGCAGCTAATCCGACGATCCTGATTTCCCCCACCCACCGCCGAGCGGTCAATTCAACCGCATTGCAAAATTCCTATTCCCGAAGAAACCAAATCCAATCCAATCAAATCAATCACTAACCCTACCGATTCCGATTGCCTTCTCCGATTCCTGCATCTACAATAACTTCTCTCTCTAAAAAAAATTGCGATTAAACGCATCAGCTAAATCATCAGTCGAAATTCTCGGCGTCGCCTCGTTTTCTCTCTCTAAAAAAAAAAACTTGTGATTTTCAACACCACTTCTTCGTGTTGAATTGATGATTGAATTCTCTGGTAATCTGGATCGGATGCCGGAGGGAGCGAATGTAGAGAGAGAAAATATATTTATTTTATTTTTTTATTATTATTTTTTTTTGGCAGCTCTTTAATTTGATTGGCTGATCGCCTCCGATCTACAATGATATTCCCTTTTTCTCCTTACACACACACTAACTTCGTAATTATGCACAGAATTTTTGACTCAAATGGTTGAAAATTAAATAATAGAAAAAAATATTAAAATTTATTTTTTAATGCAATAATTACTATATATTAAATTTATTATGTTAATCAATAATTACTGTATCAGATACAGATATACAGATATGCAGATACAGATATTTCATTTGGTCAAAACCGTGTTGCGGGAGAGAGAGAGGAGAGAGAGAATAGGTTTGACTTTTAGGAATTACTAGAATCATTGCCACTAATAATAATAAAAAAAAATTATATTTTATTTTCAAGCAAACAAAATTTTATATAAACAAAGTTTAGTGACTTTAATAATTGCAAAATTGACATTATTAACTTTTAGAGTATCTAAAAAAATCCAAAATTTTCAACAACTTATTCTTTGGGTAAATTACGTCCACTCCTGAGGTAAGGTTCAATTACGAAAAACCCCATTATATTTGGGTAATTACAATTTCCCTCAACTATTTTCTTACCTCTAGATTCTGTGGAAAGTTCTCTAGTTTGTACTTGTTTTGTGAAAATGTAGTTTATAATGCAGCACAATCTAATATTTACATGTCAAGAGATACATCTTATGATCATCTTGTTTCAATATGTGGCGCTCGAATGAGGTAAAACGAGTACAAACTGGAGAATATTCCACATAATGTAGAAGATTCCGCTAAATTTGACACCACAAGAGTCAGACGTATAAGAAGATTTATAATTGAGGGAGTGATTGTAATTATCCAAAATAAAAAGAATTGTTTTGCAATTTATTCTTATCTCAGGGATTGATGGTTGTAATTTAAAAAAAAGATATAGTTTAAACATTCAAATGTATATATAAAAAAGAGTAAAAAGCAGTTTACCCCCTAAATTATGGGCCGATTTGCACTTTATCCCCAAACAAAAAAAATTTGCACGTTTTTACCTGAACTCGTTAATTCATTGCACGGTGCCCCCTAAACTCAATTTTCCGGCAATTTTGACCGGAATATTAAAACATGTGCTTTGCACGTGAGATTTTGAGGGGTAAATTCGTCCCTTCACTTGTATCTTTAATAATAAATGCAAATAAATATTTAAAAAAAAAGAAAAAAAAACTGTCATCCATCCGACCATCACCCAGGCTCCTTCCCAAAAATCCATCAGACCATCACCGACCTTCTTCCCAAAAATCCATCACACCATCACCCATCTTCTTCCCAAAAATCCAATTCATGCCTGCAAAAAACAATCTCAAACACTAATTTAAAAAAATTCCAAAATTCTCCGATGGAATTACTTCGGTAATTGCTTGGGTGGCGGAATAGCGAAAATCGAGCACAAAACACTTGTCGGGGAAGAAGGGTTTGTAATTGCTGCAGAGGCTATAACTTTGTGAATCCGGTGGAATTAACCGGTGACGGTTTTATCTGAAATCGATCGGTGCCGTTTTGGTTGGTTTTACTGCTATGGCGTCCCCCTTTCCTGCAAAATCTCAAACGCTGCACAATTTTACCCTGCAGCATCTCCGGTGGAACAAGGACGGTCAATCTAGCGGCGGCCACCCCCACCGCCGCCCCCGCTCCGTCAAATCTCCGTCGAGGAGACCTAGCCCTTCCTCCGCTTCTCCTGTTCGCCGGTCTCCTTTCCGGGACTCCGTCTCGTTCGACACAGCCTCGGTATCAGTCTCCGCTGCGAGATTCGGCTGCTCCGGCGTCGCCGCCGCCGCCGCCGCCGCGCAAGTCTTCGGATCAGTTGAGAAAGAAGTCTCCGACCGGCGGAGAATCATCCAAATCGTATCAAGTCGGAGGGTTTTTGAAACCCTGGCCAATTGGTGCTGGCGGTCTTCGTGTACGGCACTTCCCGAGCCCTGATTTCGCTTCGCCGCCGGAGCCTTCAGGAAAGGGTAAAGCTTCCACAATTGAGCCCCGAAGAAATCATCATCTGAAGAATTCGCCCTTCGATAATCCAAGGAATGGGGTTTATTCCACAAATTCCGATCGACCTTCTCACAAATTCGAGACGAAACCTAGGGCGAAAGAAGCCGATGCATCTGGATATTAAAAACAGGGTGAATAACAAAGACGAGGTTTTGGAGATTGGGTCGTCTCTTCCGAAGGGCGAAGGGAAGAAGAAGACTCAATATATTTTTCTCTTTTTTAGTTTTTTGTTTTTTTGTTTTTATTTTTTTTTTTGTTTTTTAAAGATTAATTTATATTTAATATACAAGATGTAAGTGAATAGACGAATATATCCCTGCAAATGTCACGTGCAAGGCACATGTTTCAACTTTCCGGTCAAAATTGCCGGAAAATTGAGTTTAGGGGGCACCGTGCAACGAATTAACGAGTTCAGGTAAAAACGTGCAAATTTTTTTTGTTTGGGTGGTAAAGTGTAAATCGGCCCATAGTTTAGGGGGCAAACTGCTTTTTACTCAGTGAAAAAATTACAAATGTTGTACTTGGTGTGTTGGTGATTTGTTTATTATTAAAATTTGATTCTGAAAAGTTATAATAAAGCTGTAATTAACTTTGTAGATTTTCTTTTTTGTTAATTATAATTAAGAGTCAAATGTTATTATTATATCAATTATTCCATGCCAAAATTAACTACTTAAATAATAATTTAAAAACATGTTATTTTATGTTTATAGTAATTATTATTTGAAATTAATTGTACTTAAAAGTTAATATTATCTTTTTTGTGTTTATTATGTATTATAATGATAAAGTTAAATTTGTAACATTGTAATTATATAATTATTTATTATAACAATTGTATGTATAATTGCACAAATATAATGGAATATTAATTATAAATTATATTAATTAGTAAACATTTAGAAATAAATATAAACAATCACTTTCAAAAAAGTCGTCGTGGTTTAGATGTCCTTGTAGCCTCCGAAAGTACTTCATAAGATACACGAACGAAACTATACGATCTTATGAATAAACTTAATGGCCAAACAACTTATAAGAATCAACCTAACTCGAACAATTCGATGTTGCTTCAATCAAGATTATGATCCGGTACTTCAATACGAACCAAACATCGAACTTATTTTAACGTCCGTTTGGTTGAGCTTATTTTAAACAACTGAAGCTTATTTTAAACAATTGATAAATTCTTACGTCCGATAAGTTATTTTAAGAGCAACAACTGATAACCGATAAACTCTGATAAAGATAAACTCTTACGTCTGATAAGTTATTTTAAGAGATGAATGCTCGATAAGAACATTTGAGTTGTGCCCTCTCTTACATCATTTGCCCTTATTTGAGTATGTTTCCACACAATTAGCCACTAAACAAACATTGTAGCAATAAATAAGTAAAGTGAGAGCTTCAAAACAAACACTCCACCACACAACATTGATGAATTTCAAATGTTAATACAATGAGAACTAAGTAAGCAAAACATACAACATAAAATGCAAACCTAAAACAAGAAAACCTAAATGCATCACAAATCCAAATCCACTAAATTTCATTTCAATTTAACCAAAAAACCTTAAATGTCATTTTAGTTTCGTTCTCTCGTCACTTGAGTCGCACCTCTCTTTTCCATCTTCGCAGGCATGGGAGCAGAAAACACAAAGTCATCAGTTTCCTCATTTTCATATCTCTTCCTCTCAAAATTACCTCCACTAGTCGAATAAATTCGCGATTCTTTTTCACCGTCATTTTCCAATTGATCTTCATCTTCATCTTCTTCACCATCTTCTTCTTCTTCGTCGTCATCTTTAGAAGAAACTCCGATTTCTTCAACTTCTCGACTAAAATCTTCATCTTCAGCATCAACCGAACCATCCCGATCATTGCTCTCGTCACAATAATCTTCAAGAATCGGCTCACAGGCTTTCCTCAACACCCTATAAACCTTCCCATTCTCCGCAAAGCTCACATTTTTCTTCACTTTCGGGTGGACCTCACCACCCTGCTTCAGCAACCCCGCACGATTTCTTGAAGTAAATCCGTTGCTAGGTTTTTCGATGACTTCGCCTTGCTCCTCTTCTTCTTCTTCATCGAGCTCCTCGGCTAGTTTATCGATTCTTGAAACCAGAGACTTAAGTTTCTCCATTTGAACTCTTTTTTGTCCTCCGTGTCTCACATTGTCCGTTTTTCTTACACTATCGGAAACAACGGATTTCACATTCACCCCTCTCGAAAGTGAAACCCCCCTCCTTTGTAGATAAACCCCATCGATAAAATCGAAGAATCTATTCAAATCTCTGCTCACAGAAGCTTTACCATTTCTAATCATCGGATCTCCACCCTACAAATCATGATCACAATTACATTAACCTCATACGATAACAAACACAAAAGAAAAAAAATGCAGATGTTCTTAATGGTTTTCAGACACAAAGACTCTCTTTTTTTTGTTTTTTTTGTTTTTTTTTACCTTAATGGTGTCGAGTTTGAGAAGCAGGTCCATTGCTTTGTGGTAAACGACGTCGTAATTGAAAAGGGGTTTCTCAGAAACTGAGGATTTGAGATTCCCGAGTGTTGACTTGATGGAAGCTAGATTTTTGAGGTGGCGGAGGGTTGCCGATCTGCGCAGAAGGAAGGATCTGAAATGGGTCTGAATGGGCGGAGGGAATGGAGGAGTGGGAGGAGCGGCGGTCGATGGCAGACTCGAGGGCGGCGATGCGGCGGAGGAGGAAGGAGACGGTGGGGTAGGTTCGAATTTCTTCTTGGAAATAGTGATTTTGGTGAGGTTCGTTGTACTGGGGTTGATTCGGGAGGTGGCATATGGGCGATGGATAGGGGTGGGGCTGATGGGGAGGGTGGTGGTGGAGGTGGGTATCCGGTGGATGGGGGTGAAGATAAGGAGTGTAACGGTGGCAGTGACAGGAGGCGGCGGCGGCGGGGTGGTGGTGGTGAGCGGCCATTGACGTTCTGGTCGGAATCTTTGTATATGATTTTATTTATTTATTTATTTATTTATTTAAATTTTACCAACTGACCTTAGACATAACACCTGACACGTCATTTTACCTTTTAACCTTATTGTAAATTACCATCTTTCACTGTCCAAATTCGTAATTTGTCAGAGGTGTAAATATAATTAATACGTAATTAAATAATAAATTCATATAAATAATTAATTAAAGGGTTAATATGCCATGAGCCCCTCAAAGTAAACCTAATTTGAACTAAGGGTAAATTCCATTTTACCCCCTTGTACTCTGCCCGAGAATCACTTTACCCCCTCGCACTCTCAATTTCATCGATTTACCCCTTGTACTTATACAATTTCCCAATAGAGCCCTATCCTTCAATTTTGTCGATTTTGACTCTGACGTCGTTTGGTCAACTCTAAATTACAAAATTGCCACTGCCTATAACGCGTCCTTTCTTCTCCGTCAATATTGTCGTTTCTTCTTATCCCACCACTTCCCCTTCCAAGATATTCCCAAATTGAAGCCTTAACTTAGCAAAAATCAAGAACTAAAAATTGATCGATTCCACCCAATGCAAAGAAAAAAAATATATGAATGAATGAAACTTTCTCTTTTCTATACTCGAGAGTTAAAATCGAAAAAAATCAATATTTTGACTCTTGACCAAATGGCGTCAGAGTCAAAATTGAAAAAAAGTTGACGAAGAGGGCTGTATTGGGAAATTGTACAAGTACATGGGGTAGATCGATGAAATTGAGAGTGCGAGGGGGTAAAGTGATTCTCGAGCAGAGTACAAGAGGGTAAAGGGGAATTTACCCTTGAACTAAATGACAAATCAATATTCAATCTTTTAATTAAATTCCTTCGTTTGAAATAATATATGAGTCACATCCCTACTTTTTTTAATCCATATCTTGCCTTTATACCCTAAATTATATAAATCTAGACATTCACGTCAGTTTAGATTTATTTTTCTTCTTTTTGTTTTCTCTCTCTCTCACACGTTCTATCTCTCCATCTTTCTCTCACACGTTTCTCTCTCTCTCTCTCTCTCTCTCTCTCTCTCTCTCTCTCTCTCTCTCTCTCTCTCTCTCTCTCTCTCTCTCTCTCTCTCTCTCTCTCTCTCTCTCGTTCTTTGCTCTCATCTCTCTATATTTCTCTTGTTCTTCAGTAATTACACGAAGACAATCATCGCCGATGGAGGGAGCAGGGGCGGTGGATCGAGAGAGTATGGTGGAGATGGTGGCGGCGGGAGGAGGCAGCGGCGGCCTCGGGTGGAGGCGGCGGCGTCGGGTGGAGGTGGCAGCGGCAGGTGAAGGCGTGGTGGGGGTTGTGATTATTGTTGAGATGTTATGGAAAATATATTTTTGACTAATAAATTGGATTTGATTTCCTTGTGTTTTGAAAGATTTTTGCTTGATTTGGGTTCAAATGCGAGATCTAGGTTTTTCCAAAGTTGGTAGGTGACTATATTCGCGGCGGCTGCGAGCGTGGGTTGCTAGGGTTGGCGGCGGCTGCGTTCGCTGCTAGGGTTTGCGATGGCTTGGTGGCTAGGGTTTCGTAGTAAAGCATAGTATACCGTAGTATACTATACTACACCGTAGTATACCATAGTACTTCCTACAATATAGTATACTGCAGTACATTGTAATATACCATAGTATACTACAGAAAAATTGAAAATATATAAATTGAAATTAAAAAAAAAATAGCACGTTTTTTTTATTGCGATTCTCAATATTAAGTAGAAAAAAAAGGATAAAAATAAAGAAATTTTTATAATAGTGTATAAAATGCTAAAATGAATAAAGAAAAAAAGGAAGACAAACCGATATTCTGAAGAAAAAAAATATTAAATGGAAATATGAAAATATTAAAAGCATAATAAATTAAATGATAAATGCAGTTTGAAATTTACTTAATGAATATTTCGAATTTGTGATTAGAGGGGCATTTTTGGAATGAATTTTATAAAGGATGTGAAACAAATATTTAGTTAGACTTGTCATTTAGTTCAAATAAGGTTTGTCACCAGGAACCTATATCCTAAGATCAGGGCCGGCTCAAGCCCATATGGGGCCCTAGGCAAATATTTTTTTTGGGGGGCCTTATATTAATTTTTTTTTTAATTTAAAATTAAATATTTGTTGATATTTTCTTATTATTTGAAGTGCAAATATTAAAATTATTAGATCTTATGTTATATTTTTTACAATTTGGCTTTCATATAAATATTTTTGTTTAGTTTTATGAAAATATATATAAAAAAAATATCAAATTTGGGGGCCTTAATTTATAATACACATAATTTAGGGGGCCCTATTGATATTACAGATAGTTTGGGGGCCCTAGGCATAGGTCTAAGTTGCCTATGCACTAGAGCCGGCCCTGCCTAAGATCCCATAATTAAAACTAAATAAATTACATGTCATTTATTTTATTACAATTTTAAGAAATAAAAACATAAAAAAGTACACGAAAAAAAATTACTCATTTCAAAATGGAATCAACATTTACACCCCCTAATTGGGGGTGATCTGATTTTTTTTTTTTCTAGTAATTAAGGGATCCCAGCCAACCAACCATGCAGGTACACTGTGTAATTAGGAGAATCTTGATACACAATGCATAGGTACACTGTAATTAGGGGCTGATCTGAATCTTGATACACAATGCATAGGTACACTGTAATTAGGGGCTGATCTGAATCTTGATACACAATGCATAACGGGTTAAATGGAAAATACACTTTGACAATAATTATTTTATAATCATTAGAATAAATATTCTTTGATTACTAATGTTCACAGTGCATGCATGCGTAAAATTAAAGTGTGAATCACATTATAATAACGAACGAAATCATAGAATGCATAATATATCCAATGAAAACTAGGCGGAGGCAGAGCCGGAAGGTGGTGGTGGTGTTGTGGGGTCCGCCGGAGGAGGAGGAGGGAAGATCTGCCAACCGAGAGGAACACTTTGCCAGGTGGGGGGCATGAGCTTGATATCTTTAAGACAGGTCTTCCACCCTGGCGTAACAACACTCCATAACAATGGTAGCATCCTCCAGCCATGTGGCATAGATTCATTGGACATAATGATCTTTGGTGTAGGGAGGACCACATTAGCAGGTGGATGCCTAATAACAGGGACACGCGGTACCTTAACACGAGAAACCGGAGGCGGGTTGGTCCCATCGGCCGGAGGTGGCGGTGCAGCGCTCCAACCGGGAGGAATTGCCCTATACCCTCGTTCAACGCGTACCCAATCCGGAGGATAGGCCTTAAAGCACGGCCGCATCACACTGTACTCTTTTGGAACTGCCAGACAACGCGGTCGTGGCGGCGTTTCAGCCTCTTCCTGCTTGTAAGCAACCAACCAAGTCATTACTACTACTACTACTCAAAAGTAAGATATATATATATATACACACACACACACACACACACAACATGAACCATCTGCATTAGTACCAGAGAGAAATTAGGGTATGAGATAAATAGGTCATATCTTATGCTTCTGATATTAGCTAGCTATTAGAGATCTCAACTAAAATAAACTACCCTCGGCCATTAAACATAATTGATGGGAAAGGGATACATACGACCTTTACGGTAGTAGTAGGGGGGAAGAGCTGCCAGTTGCGGGGAACGGCTTGCCAGGTGAGGGGCATGATCTCAGCGCTACGTAGACAAGGAGTCCAACCGGGTAGAAGGATATTCCAAAAGCGTGGACAAAATTTCCAGCCCGGTGGAATAAGTTCACCTAGCTTAAGGATTTTGGCTTCAGCAAGGACAGTATCCTCTGGCATAACATAAAAAGGAACTGGCACTTCAACATGAGAAACCGGGATCCCTTCCGTCGGAGGTGCAGCCGTCCACCCTGGCGGAATTGGCCTACGGTCTGAAGCTACGGGTATCCACCCTGGAGGACAACCCTTGTACTTCAGCGGCACCGTATCGTACTCTTTTCGAATTATATGAAAACAACGTTCCGGTGTTCCACCACTATCCTCAGCCTCAGCCTCGGGTTCGGGTTCGGGTTCGCTCTGCTAAACAAAACAAACATACATTTCCAGTTATGATCTCTAATCATGTTTTGAATGAAGATCAAGTCATATATATATATATATATATATATATATATATATCCAAATCTTTATTACCCACCCACACACATAACAATTCAGGGGTTGAATCTAGGGTCGGTAATCGTACGAATCGAATCCAACGGGGAATTTTCGGAATCCGATTCCGATTTCTGAATCCCCAAAATTTTGGAACCCTAAAAAAGCTGTTCCGATTGTTGGAAAATTAGAAAACTGATCAAAAGCTTGCAAAAAAAAAATTGTAATTTGGGGAAAGAATATTACCATTAGCGTAATCTTCATTGCTTCTTTTACAGTGAGAGGCATGGCAGCGCGAGGATTGTGTTGGGAAGTTTGTGGGTGAAGGGTGCCGCGGCGGCGCGTGGGGAATACGTGAATGGGCACCTGGGGCTTTTTTTTATTGAAAGAAATTCATGAAATTACACTTTAGTCCTTACAGTTATAGATTCTGCAGTTCTGCATGTTAGATTATCTTTATATTTTTATAGAATTGAATTAAAATTGATTGCATTAATACTCATAATTATATTTTCTGAATATTCGGAATTATTATTATTAGGGTAAATTTCACTTTAGCCCTCGTACTCTGCCCAAGAACAATTTTACCCCCTCGTACTCTTAATTTCGTCGATTTACCCTATTGTACTTGTACAATTTCCCTATACAACCGTCTTCGTCAACTTTTTTCGATTTTGACTCTGACGTCATTTGATCAAGAGTCAAAATATTGACGTAAATATTGATTTTTTTCGATTTTGACTATCGAGATTAGAAAAGAGAAAGTTTCACACATTCATATATTTTTTTCTTTGCACTGAGTGGAATCGATCAATTTTTTGGGTCTTGATTTTTACTAAGTTAGGGGTTCAGTTTGGGGAGAAACAACAATATTGGTGGGAGAAAAAGAAATGACAATATTGACGGAGGAGAAACGACGCGTTATAGGCAATGGCAATTTTGTAATTAGTTGATCAAACGGCGTCAGAGTCAAAATTGACAAAAGTTGAAGGAAAGGGTTGTATTGGGAAATTGTACAAGTACAAGGGGGTAAATCGATGAAATTAAGAGTACAAGGGGGTAAAGTGATTCACATGCAGAGTACGAGGGGGTAAAGTGGAATTTATGCTTATTATTATTACTACGTGAATTCAAATCCGGAAATCGGAAGTTCCATTATGTTCACAGTACTGGAGAATCTAGATAAATTAATAACATCGATTAAATAATAGTTTCTCATTGTCTCGACTCGATGAAAACGTGTTAAATTATTAACTCGATAATATAATAATTCGATAAATTAATAGAATTTTTCTGGCCCCCGACTGTTAATTTATAAACGTTTAACTATATATTTACAATGATGGACTGTTAGTTCAGATTATCGGGGCTCGATGTCTAACCTAACAACCCTACCTTAATCTTCGGTAGCCCACGAATTTGAATTCATTTCGGATGTTTACGAAATTACCCGCCGTTTCAAATACCCGAACCAAACTATCTGATTATCTAACCGAACCGGACTACCCTTTGTCACTCATCATGTAAGGAACCGGAAAAAAAATAGAGATTATCACCAAATTGATATTTTGATTTTTTGACTTGCTCTTAGCTTTATCAAATAAATATGCATAAATAATTAAACGTCATAGCTCCAATATATCATTTTTTTATTGATTAAAGTTGAATTAAAATTTAATTAATTTCATATTTTGTATGTTTGTTGTTTTTAAATTTATTTAGCTGAATATGGTTTTAGTATAAAGTATATTATGGGCGAATGACAAATAGGTCTATCACAACAAACTTAAATGCATATAGGTATAAACTAAAAAATAGTCTTGCAAATATACCAATCTCATTTCTTTTATCTAAAACAGCATTTATAATATAAATTTTATCAATTCCATCAATTATACTCTAACTTCAACAATATTATATATTGACCCTGGATTTGAATCACATTAATCCTCATTTTCATAATTTTTTTCCGGCGTTGACGGGCGTTTCTTCGGCGTTGATTTTTTTTTTTTCTGAAATTTTTTTTCCGGACTGTCTCCGGCATTAACTTTTTTTTTTGAAACTTCTTTTGTCTCTCTAAATTACTGTGTTAATTTTTTTTCTTTTTCTTTTAGTTTTTTAAGGCAAATTACGGCCACCCCTGAGTTATGGTCAAATTACGAAACCCCCTCATATTTGGGTAATTACAACCGGCCCCCTCAAACCTATGTATTATCTTACGAAAAGACCTCTTCAGAGGTAAATTTAAGGATGTTAATTCGGTACAACCGAATCGAAATTTCGGTACGCCAACATTTCACACCGTTTACCAAACTAAATATAGGATTTGGTTCGGTAAAAAACCGAATTACATAATTTTTAAGTAAAAATATTTGAAAAGAGGGGTGACTGTAATTACTTAGACAATAGAGATTTTTTTCGTCATTTGACCATACCTCAGGTGATGGCCGTAATTTGCCCTTTTTTAACTAATTATTTAAACTGGGAGATGCGGCGTTTTTGTAATTTTAGAGCTTAGATCAAATGGTTGTTAATGTCAAATGTCAGACGACTAACAACAATGACCACATTGAGACAATTTTTCAAGTACAGAGGGAAAAATCGATACAATCAAGAGTAGAATGGAGTAAAATGATACAAAACCAAAGTAAATGGGGCAAAGTGAAATTTACCCTTCTTTTTCCCACACAATAGCCACTAAACAAATATTATAGCATCAAAACAAACTCTACCACAACATTGATGAATTTCAAATGTTAATAATACAATGAAACCTAAGTAAGAAAAACATACAACATAAATGCAAACCTAAAAACAAGAAAACCTAAATGCAACACAAATCCAAATCCAAATCCACTAAATTTAATTTCAATTCAACCCCCCAAAAAAGAAAAAACAAGTCAAACAATCTTAAGATGTCATTTTAGTTTCTTTCTCTCGTCGTTTGAGTCGCACCTCTCTTTTCCATCTTCGCAGGCATCGGGGCAGAAAACACGAACTCATCAGTTTCCTCATTTTCATACCTCTTCCTCTCAAAATTATCTCCACTAGTCGAATAAATCCGCGATCCTTTTTCATCGCCATTTTCCAATTGATCTTCATCTTCATCATCTTCTTCTTCTTCATCGTCATCTTTAGAAGATACTCCAATTTCTTCAACTTCTCGACTAAAATCTTCATCTTCAGCATCAACCGAACTGTCCCTATCATTGCTTTCATTGCAATAATCTTCAAGAATCGGCTCACGGGCTTTCCTCAATACCCTGCAAACCTTCCCATTCTCCGCAAAGCTCACATTTTTCTTCACTTTCGGGTGGACCCCACCACGCTGCTTCAGCAACCCCGCACGATTTCTTGTAGTAAATCCGTCGCTAGGTTTTTCGATGACTTCGTCTTGCTCTTCCTCTTCTTCTTCTTCATCGAGCTCCTCGGCTAGTTTATCGATTCTTGAAACCAGAGCCTTCAGTTTCTCCATTTGAACTCTTTTTTGTCCTCCGTGTTTCACATTGTCCGTTTTTCTTACACTATCTGAAACAATAGATTTCACATTCACCCCTCTCGAGAGTGAAAGCCCCCTCCTTTGTACATAAACCCCATCGATAAAATCGAAGAATCTATTCAAATCTCTGCTCACAGAAGCTTTACCATTTCTAATCATCGGATCTCCACCCTACAAATCATGATCACAATTACATTAACCTCGTACGATAACAAACACTAAAGAAAAATGCAGATGCTTTTTTTTTTTTTTTTTTTTTTTTTTATACCTTAATGGTGTCGAGTTTGAGAAGCAGGTCCATGGCTTTGTGGTAAACGACGTCGTAATTGAAAAGGGATTTCTCAGAAATAGAGGATTTGAGAATCCCGAGTGTTGACTTGATGGAAGCTAGGTCTTTCAGATGGCGGAGGGTTACCGATCTGCGCAGAAGGAAGGATCTGAAATGGGTCTGAATGGTGCGAGCGGCGGCGTCGCGGAGGGAATGGAAGGAGGAGGAGTGGGAGGAGCGTCGGCCGAGGGCGGACTCGAGGGCGGCGATGCGGCGGAGGAGGGAGGAGACGGCGGGGTAGGTTCGAATTTCTTCTTGGAAATAGTGGTTTTGGTGAGGTTCGTTGTACTGGGGTGGATTTGGGAGGTGGGGTATGGTTGAATAGGGGTGGGGCTGATGGGGAGGGTGGTGGTGGGGGTGGGGGTCCGGTGGTTGGGGGTGGAGGCAAGGAGTGTAGGTTGGGGAGTAACAGTGGCAGTGACAGTAGGTGGGATTGGCGGCGGCGGGAGGGTGGTGACACGGGTGGTGGTGAGCGGCCATTTTGGTTGTGGTCGATCGGAATCTGTTGCAGCGGTGATCTGGATTTTGGTGGCGATGATATGATAGGAGGAAACAAGGGTTTTGAATTTTGATGAGATGTTGTTTGATTCAGAGTGACGATTTTACTAACCCAGATTAGATATTGACACTTTTACACGTCATTTTACCTTCAAACCCCTCTAGTATATTTTAGGGTAAATATCACTTCCCTACCCTTGTACTATGGCTCGATATCACTTTACTTCATTGTACTCTCGATTGCATCAATTTGCCCCATGTACTTGAAAGATTGTCTCAGTGTGGTCATCTAACTTTCTAAAAAAATCAAAACTCTCTCAACTAAAAAAATTCAAAACCTTGAAATCTGAAGCTCGCTTGAAAAATTTAGCTGCCGAACAACAACATCAATATCAATGTCCGATCTGGATTACAATGACGAGGTAAAAAAAAAAAAAGAAAAAAAAAACCAATTGTGGAGGATCTCGTGCTACAAAGCACGAGAACACCCAAGAAAACATAAGTTTGCGTGTGTCGTGCTTTACAGCACGAGACCACCTAGGGTTCGTGCCCCAGAGTGTGAGATCCTTGGTTGTTCATGTGTAGAGCACGAGACCACTTTTTAATTTAGGAGTCTTAAGATATAGATTACTGGTGATAAAACTAATTAGAACTAAATGACAAATTCAACTAACCATTTGCTTCACATAAATTCATTCCAAAAGTGCCCCTCTACCCATAAATTCGAAATTTGCATTAAGTAAAATTTAAACTGCATTTATTATTTTTTATTATGTATTTAATATCTTCATTTTTTCATTTAACATATTTTATTTTATTTTTCAACACTTTGTCATCTTTGTTTTTTCTTTTTTCACTCTAAAATTTTTAATTATTATAAACAGCTTATATGTTTTTCTTATTTTTAACATTTTATTGAAAATTACGAAAAATAATTCTTTTCGTTTTTGTTAAATAATACATTAGATTTTAAAAATACATTGGTATTGGTATACTATAGTATACTATGGTGTCCTATGATGTACTATGATATACTATGATGTACTATTTTGAACCCTACCGTCAACAACTCCCAGCCATCGCCAGCCCTAGCAGCCAATGTGGCGGCCGCCATACCCTAGTCGCAGCCACTGGCCACTGCAGCTATACTCACCTACTACCTTGGAAAAACCCTAGATCTGCTGTTTTGAACGCAAATCAAGCAAAATCTCTTAAAAAAATAAGAAAATCAGATTCAATTAGTCGAACATATGGTTTGAAAGACATAACCACAGCCCCCGCACCGCACAACCACCGTTGCCACCACCTGCACCACAACTCCACCTGTCGCCGCCCACTCCACCACAACTCCACCGACCGCCATCGCCGACCTTCGTTGCTACTGGAGAAAACGAGGAAGAGATATGGGAAACCCTAGATCTACTATTTTGAACCCAAACCAAGCAAATATGACCACAACCCTGCACCATACAACCACCGTCGCCGCTACTTGCACCACGACTCCACCTGCCACCGCCCTCTCCACCACGACTCCACCTGCCCTCGCCGGCCTCCGTTGCTACTGGAGAAAACGAGGAAGAGATAGATGGTTGAGAGAGAAAGAGAAAAAAAAAACAAGAGAGAAAGAGATACAGCGAGAAAACGTGAGCGAGAGAGATGGAGAATTAGAGAACGTGGGAGAAAAAATAAAAATAAAGAGAAATAAATCTGAAATTAAAGAAATGTGAATGTATAAGTTAGATAATTTAGGGTATAAGGACAATATAGGAATAAGTAAAAAATTAGGAATATGACTCATATATTAATTCAAACAAAGGATTTTAATTAAAAGATTGAATTTGTGGTCAAATTAAGTTTCCTTTGAGGGGCTCCTACCATATTACCCCTTTAATTTATATTCAAGGTCTCATGCTCTAGACCACGATTCCTTAAAATATTATATGTAATCGTGCTGCAGAGCACGATACTTCCCTTGTTTTTTTCTGTTTTTTTTTTTTTTTTTTTTTTTTATGTTTTTTTCGAAAATTATCTAGATCTAGTCCTAATCACAAGTTTTTACCTAAATTGTAAATGAAATTGATTGAAAGTAATAGGATTTGAAAAAAATACTGGAATCGAGACTCGTTTGCTACGGATTGTAATGTTGAACGTGTTGAGAGAGTTTACTAGAGGGAGAGAGAATTTCGAAAAAAAAAATCATCAAATGAATGAGATTCCACTGTATTCAGTAATAATATCGCTGCAAATAGCAACACCAATTGTAAATTAGTCGATACCATTTTTGGCTGTCCAAATTTGTCATTTGTTATTGGCCGTAGAGGTGTAAATGAGTTCGCTCGACACAATCTCATCGTGCATCTCTAAAGAGAACATGAGAAACGGGGTTCCCGTCGGCCGGAGGTGAAAGTTCTGTCACTGTTATTGCAACTGCCAGCATTCATTTCCATAGTTAGGTAGCCTCAGAGGCTGTACTTTTGACACGTGGACAGTAGTTGATTCTAAATTCTAGACAGCTTCTTGTTCACATAACGAGTATTCGAACAAAGCTCGTGTTGTTGATCGATTCGAATACATGTCAAACAGCAGAGGTCGATTATAATTCAACCAACTTCAACAAAAACACCGAACTTATAAAGTTAATATTACTTGGGATGCAATAACACAATTGAGTAAAAATAGTTTCTAAATTTATCACCTTACAACAAGAAATGAAGATATAGGTAAATAGACAAAAAAAGCAATGTCTTCAATACAAATGTAATAAAGTAACATAAAGCTTCCGACTTTTGCCCCCATACACGAGAGCAAATTGGAAAAAAATCCCAATATTTAAATGACAAAAAAGAAAAGACAAAAAATACGCTGTTGTCACTTGGTTCGAAAAAAACACAAGCCAAATCTCGTTAAATAAAAACCTCGATTTTATGCAATAGCTGGCATGTCCTTGAGCCAAGCATCGAGCGGCTTCCCGATCGAGTAAACAATGAACCCGATCTCCCTCATCTTATTCGCATCAACAACATTCCTCCCATCGAAAAGAAACGCGGGTTTCTGCATGCTGTCGTAAATCTTCTTGTAATCAAGAGTCTTGAACTCGTCCCACTCTGTAAGAATACAGACAGCATGCGCGTCCTTAGCCGCCGTGTAAGCATCCCAAACCGCCTGAACTTTCTTCACAGTGGTGGGGCTCGTCGGCTGGAGGTGGAGCGGGTGGTCCCAGTCGAACTTGTTCATCGAGAGATCCCTCTGGATTTGATCCTCTGTTACCTGTGGGTCGTATATGCTCAATTGCGCCTTGTCACCCAACAGCCCTTGGCAGACATCAATAGCTGGAGTTTCTCTAGTGTCACCCGTGTCTTTCTTGAATGCGAAACCTAGTATCGCGATTTTCTTGTTCGCGACTGTGTTGAACATGGAAGCAACCAATCGGTTCACGAATCGGCTTTTCTGATAATCGTTGATCTTAATGACTTGCTTCCAGTACTCTGCAACTTCAGGTAGACCGTTGCACTCGCAGATGTAGACCAAGTTAAGAATGTCTTTCTGGAAACAGGAACCACCGAAACCGACACTCGCGTTCAGGAACTTAGGACCGATTCTTGTGTCCTTACCGACAGCGTAAGCAACTTCAGTGACATCAGCACCGGTTGCCTCGCAGAGTGCCGACATGGCGTTGACGGACGAGATTCGTTGGGCCAAGAACGCGTTAGCAGCGAGCTTCGACAGCTCAGCGGACCATAGATTGGTGGTCAAGATTCGATCGTCGGAAACCCAATGGGCGTAAACTGCCTTCAGTGTTTGAACCGCCTTATTCCCTTCTGGGGTTTCCCTTCCTCCGATTAGGACTCTGTCGGGATGAAAAAGATCTTGAATTGCAGTACCCTCAGCGAGAAACTCCGGGTTGGAAAGAATCTGGTAGTTGATTCCTTTGCTGTTGTGGGTCAGAATCTTTTCGATGGCTTCAGCTGTTTTCACCGGAACGGTTGACTTCTCGACGACGATCTTGTCGGATTTTGACACGTCAGCAATCATGCGGGCGGCGCTCTCCCAGTAGGTCAGATCCGCAGCTTTGCCAGCTCCGAGTCCACGAGTCTTGGTGGGGGTGTTGACCGAGACGAAGACTATGTCAGCTTCGAAGACGTGTTTCTCCACATCTGTGCTGAAAAAGAGGTTCTTGCCTCTGCACTGCTTCACTACCTCGTCGAGACCTGGCTCGTAGATAGGGAGCTGGTCGCTGTTCCATGCACTGATACGAGGGACGGAAATGTCAACAACTGCCACTTCGATCGAGGGGCACTTGAGTGCTATCACTGCCATGGTTGGGCCTCCCACATACCCTGCTCCAATGCAGCAAATCTTCACCATCTTTCACTTGTTCTTAGTGACCTGCAAAATTTCGAATGTACACATTTCAAAAAAAAAAAAAAAATTACCCTCTGCTGCAACATTAACACAAAGAAAGACGCGGAATTTAGGTTACGTCTACATATCAGGATACCAATATTTCGACAGCATTCTCACGACACGAAAGAAATCATAAAAGTCATTCACTCCAGCAGTATCATTTGTTAATGATACAATCGAAATAGAATCATAGTATTTCGTAAGGAAATCGTTTTTCGGAAATCAGATCTGATTTGTTGGAACCAAAACAAAGAACAAAACCACGACACCTCGAAGACACAAAATTTATCACGAAACCAACACACCACCATTTTTTTCACACTAATCAGAAATTAATCAGGTTAAATTACAATATTTTTTTTACCAGATCTATCACATACACAGCCCACTTTCACACAACAGCTCCAAATCCACTACTTGCAATTAATTTACGTAAAACCACACATGAATAAAAATTCGAATCAGATGCTATACTTCATCAAATTCACATAGATCTACCAAAATTCGCGCAATCAAAACAACTAACACCAGAATTACGCATCAAATGAGAGATCAAATCAATAAAATTAAAATAAAAACCCAAATCAACAAAGATCCCGTAAATTTCCGACTGCTCGTCTCAGATCAACAAGTATTAAACTCGAACATAATCACGCAGACAGAAATTCAATCACGAATCAGCATCTGCTAACACACACAGCTGTGTCTGAATAAATACGTTCTACACAAATCAATGAGATTTGTCATCTACACACAAAATGAAGCTCCGAAATCGGAAAAAGAATAATGGAAGATATTTTACCTCTTGATCGCGCGTCTGTAATCCTGGAAATCAAATTCAGAGAGAGGAGAGAGAGAGATCTGTGATGAGAAAATATGGAAGAATTGTTTTTTATGAAAGCTGAGTGAGCGGGCAGCTGATTATATATAGTCGTTGATATTTCCAAGATCTACGCCGTTGGACGATAATACCCCTCGTTTAATCGGTCTTACTGAAAAGACGGTTTTGACCCTACCTATACCGGGGTTTGGTGAATGGAAAGCCGGTTGCAGCTCCCTGTGTCACACTCGATTCGTGCTGCTGTCGTAATTTTATTACTGTCAACCTTCCAAAATTGTGTTACTCAAAAAAAAAAACCTTCCAAAATTGTGTTCTATTAATTTATTGGGAAAATTGCACTTCACCCCCTTAAAATATGCATGTTTTGCACTTTCCTCCCTAAAAATACAAAAATAAGACTGTCTCCTTCGAAATATACAATTCGATGCATTTTGTCCCAATTATGTGTTTTCGGTCTAATTCATCAAATGAAGGGTGTATATGTCATTTTACATCTTCTGACTGAGAATCCTCCTTTTAGAGTTACTTAGGTTTTCCAAATTAACAAAATTATCTTCCCAAATTGATGAAATTCGCTTTCAAATTCAACAAAGTTTGTTCTTGTTCTTTGTAATCATTGTAATGCAGGGTGAAAAAATGTTAAATGACATTTACAGCCTTAAAAGATAAAATTACCCTTCCAATTTACTCAAATCCGACAAGAATTAAGCCAAAAATATACATTTTGGGCAAAATGCACCGAATTGTTTTTGAATTTTAAGGGAGGAAAGTGTAAAAAGGGCATAGTTTGAGGGGGTGAAGTGCAATTTGCCCCAATTTATTTTATTTTTACAATTAGAATTTCCAAAACTATGTTGTATAAAATCTATAATCCTATAATTAATATAAACTAGGAGTGGAAATCGTAATGAAACTATCGAATTCCGTTGATTTCAATTCGAAAATATCCGATTTAATTCCAATTTGTTTTTAATGGAATCATAATTGTATGTGAAATTACAGGAAAATACTATGTAATCTGATTTTAGTTCCGTATATTCCGGTTATTTTTCGAGGTATATAATATAATTTTATGATATATTTTGTAATTCTATGATATTATATATGTTATATGATATGAAAAATATAAATACCCAATCGACAAGTATAAATTAAAATTAAACTCTTTGTTGCATTTTTCTTTTATCAGAAACTCAATATTGCCTTTTGTTGTTCCTAAATATGGTTTTATTTATTTCATTATGCTGAATTATCTTTCGGGTTTTCTTGCATTTTGCTGGAAAATTCAAAACAAAGAGAAAACAAATTTGTGAAAATTCTCATTATATCCGAATTTTGAACAATGAACTATATATTAATTCAATTTATGAATCAATCGATTCTAAGGTATTCCAAAATCCAAACGGATTTTTGAATTTCGAGTTTTTTGAAACGAAAATTGGAACTCATTTTAACTTTCGAGAAAAAAAACCATTTCCGATCCATTCCATCTAACTGTATTAGTAGCAATATTAGTATTAACATTCAAATTGGTTGAGTGTGTGCTAAAGTATCTGATTTACTTTTTCTTTTTTTAATGGTAAAAACAAACGGTTACTTTTTAATTTGGTTATTTTCAGAGAACCGCGTTTTTGTGCGTGACGGTGCATGCACCAATTTCTTCCGGCACGTGCAGATAATGATGTGTACGCTGCGCTTCTTGGGTGGTGCTCCAGCAGATTATTAATTATTATTTTTTTAGTATGGGGACAATAATCGCTAATGATTCGTAATCAAGCAAAGAAACAAATGATTAAATAAAATTTAAGACCTTTAAAAAAATTGTTTTTAATCAACTTTAAGTGTGGTTTACTTAACCTTCGAATGAATCATCATGTTTATTCAATATTATTAATTTTGCCGATTTCAAATCGACTTTGGAACAATTTTATTTCTCTACTATTTGTTGTGCAATGCGAGATCTATGTGACGACTTAACTTAATTAGAAGATGTGACACAAAATAAGTATATTGAATATTTTCTACCGTATAGTTTTATTTATTCAAAATATTTTTTTTACACACTCACGTACAAATGTTTGTAAGTATATATAGTTTTATATTTGGGTCTATGTAGGGGTGTAAATCGAACTGATCGGATTAAAATTAGTCATTTCGGAAAAAAATCATTTTTCTTTCGAAGTGAAAAACTAGTTCCAGTTATGTTCCAAATGGAAATAGAAATTTCGAAAATTGGAACGGAAATAGTTGCCAAAATCATATCAGAATCAGTGAAATTCAGAACTTTTGCTCACCTTAAGTATTAATACAAAATAATATTGGTATATTAATTGTAAAATTCAGGAAAAAAAAATCAAAATTTTTGGAATTATTTTCGGACCTGTTATCGGATCGGAAATCGAAATCTCACATATATTCAAATTCCGATCCAAATAAATTTCAGAAAAATCGAAAGTCCAAATTTTGAAATTCGGATTGAAAAATAATGTTCCAAAATCGAAAAATTTCGGATTGGAATCGATGTCAATTTCATTATAATTTCCACCCCTAGGTTTATAAGATGCTACACCCGATGAAATACATCGGATAATTTTAAATCAACCGTAGATCTATTAAAATAGCAACCTAAACATACACACACATGAATATGCGTGTTGTTATGTATAGATCTACGATTTAAAATCATTAAACGTAGTTAATCAGACGTAACATCTACTAAACCATATATTTGGATACATAGTTAAATACTACGATATACTACATTTAAAATTTTAAATATACATTCGAATGGAAGGTAATTTAAGCATTAATTACACACGTGGCACTTAACTTAGGAACAAAGAACGCCCCTCAATGTGGGCTCCCCATAACATTTGAGTGAAATTCAAGCCAATTAAACGTGCAATAACTATTCCCTCATTTTCGTTTGTTGGAATAAAAAAAATTTTAATGATTAAGAAAAAAACAAAGAATTCATACCTACCAGTCTAATTGGACAATTGACATCTACCTTGAAGAAATTTCATACTTCATGGGTTTAAAATGGACAAAATATGGCTTTTGACTTTTCAAATAATGATATTTCTAATTATATATATATATATATATATATATATATATA